GAAATAATATTTTTCATTTTGATACGCATATCACTGTGAACTAGATTATAGAAACGGTTCACCTTCGTGACCTCGAAGCTCATCTAGTCTTTATTTTATGCACAAGTATGTGAAAAGCAAATGTATCCGGTTGCACATCAGAAATTCAAAATATTTTTGTTCTTTTTTAATAGATCTTCGATAAGAGAAGTTATGATTAAAAACATTTAAGACTTTAATCTTTTGTGTGATTTACTTTAGTTTGACGTGATGTAAAAGAAAAAATTAGACTTTTGCAGTGACTGAATGCTCAAGTATCAAATTAAAAAAGTAGCATCTCCAATTATAAAATTCAGAAAAAAACGTTATTTAATAAAACTTAAAGTAAATGCAACTTCGTTCATGATATTCATTGTTGGCTGTTCAGAATATAATTATCGTTCTCACACTGAAGACAAATTCATTATCTTAAATTTGACATGTTTGGTTATGCTATCAACATCTTTGATCCTTCAGAGAATATGAACAAAATTTAAATTAAACATTACATTACACCTTTTCTTCATTTTTTCTTTCTTTCAAAACAATGCTGCAGTTCCTTCAAATTTTTTATCTTAAAATTCTCATTGGAAATTTCCATCTTTTTATTTTTCCATTTTTACATCTTCCCAATGTTGCTTTTCATATTGAAACGTACTGTAAATAAACGACTTTTGGAATTGAGAAGAGAAAATTAATAAGAATAAATATCTAGAGCTGAAAACTTTAGAATTGCGTATATCAAATTTAATGCTTGATCTCCTATTTTCTTAATCTCCAGATTAAATAATGCTTGTTCTCCTCTTATTATTGATCTCCAGATTAATTAACCGATCGGGATTAAGGATATTCTATTCTAAAGTTTTCAGATCAGGTGTTCCTAAATCAAGTGAAACATTTTCATGGAAGAAAAACTACAATAAATGGTAGATGTCAAGTCTACTACAGTCAACGAGAATATATTTCTACTTTTGCTGAATCAATATGTATTTATAAGTTCAATGTATGCATTCCTGAAAATGATTTGATTATTTAAGTGCTGACTAATTATCTACTTGTAAATGCACAATTTGAATGTATATTTAGTTAAGATTTCAATATGTATACTTTGTTTCAAAAAAAACGATCAAACAAAATTATCAAACATTATATTTTCAATTGGCTCATAATAAATTTTCTGTTGTGTTTTATTTTAAGCTGAACCATCATACATTATTATTTTGTATTTTGTGTTTGAAAATAAATAACTATAACTATAACTATGAATATGTAAGTAACAGCTTTATAAATCCGTGTGTTACGTAACTCGCCAATATTGATATTTTGGTTATCATGAAAACCAAAATATCAATCCATGGGGACCAGAAAACTATGGAAGAGGAAGACGACATCTACACAATCTAATGTATTTATGAAGTTTTTGTAAAGCTATAAGTTTTACCAGTATTATGGTATACCAAACTATTAATTGAAATGGGCCTATTTACACTGTTCAATTGCGAATTGTTTTATGTTCCTTGTACTATTCAAAATTAAAAGTTTAATCTATTAGTTGTCTCCCTATTTCACAGTTATACGGTTCCCCCTGTTAAAGAATAAAAAAAATATTTCAAGAAATTACACGTTTCATATTCATAATGCACCTTCTATCCTATCTCTGGTTTCATATTCATAATGCACCTTCTATCCTATCTATGGTTTCATATTCATAATGCACCTTCTATCCTATCTCTGGTTTCATATTCATAATGCACCTTCTATCCTATACTCTGGTTCCATATTCATAATGCACCTTCTATCCTATCTCTGGTTCCATATTCATAATGCACCTTCTATCCTATCTCTGGTTTCATATTCATAATGCACCTTCTATCCTATCTCTTGTTTCATATTCATAATGCACCTTCTATCCTATCTCTTGTTTCATATTCATAATGTACCTTCTATCCTATCTCTGGTTTCATATTCATAATGCACCTTCTATCCTATCTCCTATCTCAGCAATACAAAAAAAATCTAATTATCTAACGATTTTTATCTCAGTGTTTGTTTAGCAAAATTATTTTAAAACTATTTCTTTGAAAATTCTGTTTTTCGCGTAATCAAATTATATTATAAAATGTACTGCATGCAGCTGTCGGAGAAACATCAAAGTGATGGAAAATGTCTGCGATACCAATCTAGCAATGTTTCCGTAGAAACGGTCGAATTATTTAGTTTAATAAATTAATTTGTCATTTAATTTTACTGAACGAAATATATGTTGCATGCTCGATTATTCATTATGCTAAACATATATACAGGGTGTCCCACGAAATATATGTTGCATGGTTGTTTATTCATGATGCTAAACATATATACAGGGTGTCCCACGAAACATGACAATAGGAAGATGACTTGAAAGTCGTCTTTGGTATTTGAATTTATTTGTGACATTTAGTCTTCTAAAATTAGGTTGACAAATAAACGCAGCAAATTATATCAAAAATCAAGACGACATTCAAGTCGTCCTGCATACTGTCATGTTTCGTAGGACACCCTGTAAGTTCGTTTAGTGTTTATTTATTTGGGTTATCTAAGTTTGAAATATAATTTTTAATTAATGATAAACTTTTCTTGACTTTTACATTACTCCTCAATTAAACGTTACGTTTTCGATTTTTAACTTTCATTGGCAATTTAAATTCTAACATTTTATTTTATTTTTGTCTGTAGGAAGACGACTTTTGATAAATCCTTTAATGATGAACTTAATGATAAGCATGAGAAAATATTAAATACAATAAATGTAAAGCTTCCAATTATTGTGTTTTAAGAGGATGTCTTTAAAATGTTTTAAAATCTGAGCAATAACAGTTTTCAAGTTACATAAACCATCATCAAAACCAAAACTATTCATATGTATTTTAATCAAGGGGGATAATAGTTTCCTACCTGTGTGCTCAGTTAGCTTTACTGGACACTTACAACGGTTTACTAATAAAGATTTACTATAGGTTAGGCCAGAATCTTTTTATAATAAAAAATATGCATGTACAGGGTGTCCCACGAAACATGACAGTATGCAGGACGACTTGAATGTCGTCTTGATTTTTGATATAATTTGCTGCGTTTATTTGTCAACCTAATTTTAGAAGTAAATTTCTAGAGAAAATAATCACAAAATTTCCCTTGTCCTGCCATTTCCAAAATGTGGTCTGCCTTTTTTGTGCTTTCAATATTGCCGGAGATATGAAGAATTTCGTTCAGATTTCGACAATTTTGCTTTTATTTAACAAAATTGAAATCTGAACCAAACTCTTTATATCTCCGGTAATATTGAAAGCACAAAAAATGCAGACCACTTTTTGGAAATGCCAGGGCTAGGAGAATTATGTGATAATTGTTTCAAGAATCATACATGTTAAAGTAGATAGAAGACTAAACGTCACAAATAAATTCAAATATCAAAGACGACTTTCAAGTCGTCTTCCTATTGTCATGTTTCGTGGGACACCCTGTACGCTCTTGGTATAGTTCATTACCTATACAACTAGTAAAGCATTAGCGTACATCATCATCACTCTGTACACTATAACCTCGTTGATTTTATTAGGCCTACTACATTGTAAATTGTGAATCTCTAATGGGTTAAAATTCTAATTTTTCCGAAAGTAAATGACATTCCTTTACAAAGAGCTGGTTTTAACAGGAACCTACAACCTACATAATTAAGAATAAAATTAACGGTATTTAATAAAAATTGTTGCATTCCAAAAAAACATTCTTTTTTCTAAAAAATATAAAGATTATTTTAAGGGATTATATTAGGCAAACAGGGCCAGTTCATTTAAAGCAGCCAATTAGATATTGACTGTTAAATGACTGACTTTAGTTTTAAAAATAAACTATAAGCGTTGATATACAGGATGCTCCACGAAAGATGACATTAGAAAGGCCACTTGAAGGTCGACTTTGATCAATGAAATAATTTGCGGCATTTGCGGAAAATCTTATTTCAGAAGAAAAATCTAGAGTTTATAATTACAAATTACCCCTAGTCAGGATTAGGAGAACTTTGTGATTTTTGTCTCAAGAGTCATACATGTCAAAGTAGATTGACAATTGAATGCAACAATAGTTTCAGAGATGCTAAGACAATCTTCTAGTTATTAATTCTACTGTCATGTTTCCTGGGACACCCTGGACCCAAACACCAATAATAAATAATTAGCTTAGGGAAAAAACTTTTGACAATGAAAATATAAAAATAATCCCAGAATAGGAATTAGATTGCACCTTAGATATCTGAAAAATATTTGAAGTAGAGTAGAACCAATCAAATTAGTTTTTATCTATTTTTAACTGACCATAAGCTTTAAGATTAGCAAAATTGATAAATGGCTAAATATTGAAGAAAAAAATTCATAATAAAATACATTTTCTTTTTATAATTTCCTTTCAAGAATTGCGCAGTTTCTGTATAATATTTGATATTTTAACCAACGAGGTTATAGTGTATAGAGTGATGATATACGCTAATCCTTTGCTAATTTTAAATGAACTATACCGAGAGTGTACTGCATATTTGATTTTCATAAGGAGATTCTGACCTAACCTATAGTAAATAATTATTAGTAAAAAGTTCAAAGTTAAATTGTTTTTCGAAAAATTATGTAGCATAACTCAACAGGACTGTTTTTAATTTATTTTTCAGAATATTTCTTGATTCCAATTAAATTTATGTATTGAGTCAATTGGAGCTGTCAGAGCACAAATTGGTACTTCCTTTTAGACTTCAAAAATAGTTTTAAATATTAATTTTTCATCACCCATTTCTTAATATTGTTGATTTCCTGCAACTGCAGGCTTGTTTCTTTCTTTGTTAAATCATTGTATTAGCCACAAAGAGTTCTCATTCAATTAAACTTTGAAGTCGTCAAATCAAAAAAGTTTCAGGTCGTCTGTCTTTACAATCTCATGACATGAAAAACGGGACTCACCTTAGTTTTCGGTTTATTTGGCAGATCTTCTTCAGTATCCTCAATTATGCTTAGCTTTCTCATGCTTTCTTCTGCGTCTAATGCGCTTAACTTTCTCATGCTTTCTTCTGGCTGTAGTGCGCTTAGCTTTCTTATGCTTTCTTCCGGCTCAAGTGAGCTTAGCTTTCTCAAGCTTTCATCTGCTTCTAGTCCAGACTTTTCACATGGATCACCTGTACTTTCAGTACATGATCTTTCACTAGCTTCAGTGCAGGATATTTCACTTGTACCTGTTCCTGAACGATCACTGATACCATCACTATGTTCTGCAAGGTTTCTGGTCCCTTGAACCCCGGCCCTTAGGACCAACATGTCCAGAAAGTCTCTTGTTAGTCGGTGTTCCTGTATCTTATCTTCTATTTATGTAGCAAAATTTTAGTTTAACAAAATGTTTCTTTAGTTTATTTGTGTATTGCTTTGTTTTTAGTATTGTTTTACTTGCTTATTGATTTTTTGTGTATTTTCAGTTTTGATGCATATTTTAGTTTTTTTTTGTATTTCTTGCCTTTTCTTGTTAAAGATCAGTTAATCAAGTAAAAAAGGAATTTTTCGAAGACCAATATGTGGTTACTTTTTTCTTTTTTTTTCTTACGGCCACGCTGCAAACAAGGCTATTGTACAGAGCATGAACTGGCAAATCGCCTGGTATATTGACATATGGGGGCACCCTCATATATATCTAATAAACATCTTTTGATAAATTAGATCTGTAAACGTGTTAAATCCCCGGGTACAATCTAATAACTTTTCTGAGACAAAAATACACAATCTTTACAGATTTTCAACATGTAAGTATTTCTGTGAACATTTTTTATTTTTGATTCTGTGAAATTCAATCATATTACCACCTTATATTATAAAATTGAGATATTATATATTTTAGGATATACTTTCAGTCCTTTCTAACTTTCTTATGTTAATTTTCATATTTATTCTAAAGTTGCACCATCCCTTGTTCACTGTCTGCCTCTGTGTCTGTTCTGAAATAATAGTAAAATAAAGTAAAACAAAATATAAAGCATATTTATGGAAAAAAATTCTTTATAAACAATTTTTTGACATCATATCTAGTTAACCATTAAAGTTTGTAAAAGGCTGATAGAAAAAACTACCTTGTATCCCCTGTAATGGATGATGAGCAGTTTGTATATGACCATGCATCTTCACTTAGAAATATCCTGAAAGATTTAAATTGGGTTCAAAAAAATTATTTCCCATTAAGATTTTGCCGCAAACTCTGATTTTTGCAACCCGATATCATAGACCTTTTATATTTCAAAGTTCTGTTTGATCATACAATTGTAGTTGAGTTTGTCACATAAACTCAATTCCTTACCCATCGCTCAGAATTACTATTTTTCTAAAGTATAAATATGTACAAATAGATTTTACAAGATGAGGTTTGAAATCTGTTTCATATAATGAGCCAAGAAAGAAAGGAATTGAGTCTTTGCCACAAACTCTGAATTTATAATCTCTATCTTTGGAACCCAATGTCGTAAATCATTGATATTTCAAACTTATATTTTTTGATCTAATAGAATTTATAGTTTGAAATATCTAAGGTCTACGACATTGGAACCCAACGATATAAGGTTTAGAAAAGCAGAGTTTGTGGCAAAGACTCAATTCCTTTATAAATAACATTTTGAACAGAATCTAGGACTGATTTAAAAATCAAAATAGATTTGAAGTTGAACAAGCATTTTAATTTAAAAAAATATTTGATAATTAAAAAGTTTAATGCTTGAACATTTATTTATTATGCATTCTTAGTTTACATGTGCAATGCTCGTTCGATCATATTTAGAATTCAATGGAATCAAATTTTTAATATAAGTTATTTAAAACATGTTGCGTAAGTAAAAGTGAAAAAATATTCATTTAAGATATTTAATAATGAGGGATTATGTAACAGTATTTGAAGCGTGTGAAATCTTATTACGATTTTCAATATCTTAGGAATCTGCTTTTTCCAAATTAACCTATCATAATTACTTAATAAACGTTAAACTTCGGTAACGTTCTGCAGCAGACTAAGCTCTCGATGTGCACTGCAGTGATCTGCAATGCTCTGACCGAAGAAATAGTGGGTTTTAGTGGAGAGTGGACTTTAGTTTTTAGGTTCAGTTAATCAAAAAGTTCAAATCGGAAAATTTTAAGAATTTTTAGAATTATAATACCAAAAGAGGAAATCTCAAACTCTAAATAAAACCCAAAAAAGTTTATTTAATTTCAAGGTTTTATCTGAAATATCGTTATTTTTTCCTTCTCTTTCTCTCGACTCTAAAACTCTTTCTTCTATATGAAGCAGTAGAAGAGTACATCTCATGTAAAAAATTACAGAACTCATTCAACTTCTTTTGTTTTTTGATGAGAGAAAGAGTTATGTTTTAAGACATTTTCTTTTTAACTTTCAAGATTTGGATAAAACTCGTTCACAATAACCCTGAGGCAGAAGCCCAGAGAAGTTTTGCGCAGTCGGCGTAGAATTACAAGACAGAGAGAGCCTGTCATACGCCGACTGCGAGAAACTCCGCTGGGCTTCTGCCTTAGGGTTATTGTGAATGAGTTTCATCAAAATCTTGAAACTATGAACTATAACTGTCTTATATGTTATTTTAACTAATCTATGGTATGAACCTTAAATAAAAAAGGGCCAAAACAAAAAATAATTAATTCATTCAAACGATAAACGACCATGTTAATTTGACGAATTGGGGTATTTGGGACATTTTCTTGCTCGTTTGTTAAAGATAGAAAATGGGAATATCATTTTATTAATTTATTTAAAGACTTGAAGTCAAGTCCAGTAAGTCGTAAATGGAACTTATCAAATACAAGATCACTTATAACAACGTTGCCAGTTCCCGGCCGCTTAATAATTTAATAGAATTAAATGACAAGATCTAGGTATAACTGAATATGTTTTGTTTTTAGGTCTGGTGGCATGAAGCTGCACTGAATATTATGTCTACAGTGTGGATTGATGAATACTAAAACTGCCTTAAAGCTTGCCTTGTCAGAGCAGAGCGCAGAGCGCAAGGGGGAGGGGGGGGGAGGCGTCATATATGGTAAACAAAATTGATATATCAGATTCAATCAGAATCTCAAAACTGAAAACCATTTTAAAAATCTATTTTGTTTGTAAGATTATTAAGAAATAGTGTTATGACTAGAACGATGGTGTTGTGTTTCATATTTTGAGGCCTGAGAGTATTGAAATAAAAGGTTTACAAATGATTTTTAGCTTAACTGAAATCTTAAAACGAATCGATGTTAGAAAACCGCAAAAAGCATAAGTGTCTCAATTTATTTTGTTCTTTAAGTTGTTAAGCTATGTGTTAGTTTTATATCTTTGTTTTGTATATATATGTATTGTATACTCCTAGACTCAATCATGCCTACTATACAAAATACAATCAGACATAAAACTACCACCAGACTTTACAGCAGGGGCGTCAACATAATTTTTAGATTTTAATAATAAACAGTTTTCATAATAGCAAGGTTTTATCATAACCAGTTTTAATGATGGTAACAATATTTGATGATAAACTGATATATATATGTATAATAACTACCAAAACTCTGAATCAGTACAATATCAGTATCAGTAATATATGGATTCAAAGTATGGACATGTGCCGTATATGTTCATAGTCTAAGTTTCAAGGCTATGTATTTTTGGTATTTTACTTTAATGGTCTAAATTTCCAGGGAGTTCGATAAAATATTTTAGAAAATAGGACAAAGTTTACTGATTTTAATATAAAAACTAAAATTTTACGGACATTTTTATATTTCTCACCTTTCATCACCGGCCGAAAACGCGGAACTTCCGGTAGATATTGTTCGATATCTCCTTAATATCAATTCGTCAATATGAATTATTAATGTTAACTTATTTCATATAATGTCCTTACTCCTGCATCTAAACAAAGTACAGAGTGTCCCACGAAACATGACAGTAGCAAGACAACTCACAGGTCGTTTTTGATTTTTGAAATGAAAAGCAAATTTTTGTTGTTAACCTAATTTTAGAAGCAGAATTCTAGAATTAATTAGCACAAAAAAACATAGTCTTAGCATTTCCAAAATGTGGTCTGCCTATTTATGCTTTTAATAATACCTGAGATATGAAGAATTTCCTTAAGATTTCGAAAATTTAGATTTTATTTAATAAAAATTGAAAACTGTACAAAGTTCTTAATATCTTCTATTTTATTGACAGCACCAAAAAGTAATCCTCGTTTTGGAAATGCCAGGACTAGGGGAATTTTGTGGTTATTATTTCAAGAATACATGTTTCGGGGGACATTCTGTATTTGAAACATTAAGTTTAGATACCTATTTTTAGTAGAAAAATGATTCACATCCGTACTGGCGTAATCTATTTACAATTATTCAATCTGGAAACAAAGAAAAGAAAAATATGCAAATGTTTTTTGACAAAACACATTAAAGATCCACAAAGATATCAATTGTTTTCAGTTTTTGCAAGTATAAGATCAAGTCAATAAATCCATAATAAAAATGTAATTTTTTTAAAAATTTATATTTTATCTTTAATTTCAATCTAACTTTTTAAAAGCTTACATAGCACAGCTTGGACGTGTCGAGTGGTATTATGAATTATGCGTACACTCCATTTAACTCATGTTAAAATTTTTGCAGTAACAGTTCCCAATCGAAGTTTTCATAAACTAAACTGTAAATAATGAAAGAGGCATTGTCTATTGTTTACCCTTAGCCTCAGGAAATCGGTTTTTATTCTGTAAACCACTATTGTGACAATTATGATCTTTAAACAATTAAATAGTTAAAAGTTTTTTTTTTATAAATAGAAATAGAGTTAAACTTAAAGATCCTTTTCCAGTTTTCTGTTTCCATTAATACGCCTTATTTTCTTAACCAAATTGTAAAAATATAAAGTTGAGAAAATCTCCTATTGAAATGACCCTTAATAAGAAATTGATATTGGTTCCTGAGTTTGTAGGGGGCAACATCATCAAGAGTAACATAGGTTCCCAGGGGACCAAGTCCAACTCCTCCACTTACTCCTCCAAACCCACAGAATCCGATTGAAGAATCTTGACCAATCTGTTAATTACATTTCTGAATTTTAGTTCAAAATGTTTGAAGGTTTTCGGCTTAATTTCAAAATATTCTTTAAATATAGTAAAATGGGTTAAGAAAATGTAAGGATGTAAATGACACATAGAACTAGACAGAAGGAGAAGATAAAATTTACGCAAAATTGCTGGCACGACTTTGTGACCTCGTAGCATTCTAGTATTAATTTTACGCAGTATAAGAAAAAAATCATCCGGTTACATATTTAAAGACTTTCAATATGTTATGGTTAAGTGTTAAATCCGTGTAAACAGCTATAACTGTCACTCGATTTTCATCGACATGTAGAAGGAATTAACTAAATCCTTCGGATCACAAAAGATACGGAAAACTGTCAACTTCAATTAATTCTTGAATGAAATTTGAAAAACAAAAAGATTCCGACCTCTGGACATGGTGTCGACTTTGGGGTTTCAACTACTTTTGTGAAAGACGAATTCTATTAATTTCCCAAATTGGACAAGTTGTATATAATATAATAATATAATATGGACGTTTGTTTATCACAACGAGTATTTTTGCCACCACTTCCCTTAATTAATTTAATAAGACCTTCCATTAAAAGAGGAGAATCCCCTAATCTCTACGTTACCCTTTAAACCTTTGACTGATCAAGAATGTCCTCATTAATAAATGTAATACTTTTAATTATTAAACACTTTGTTTGCAAGCGCGTTGTTAAAGTCGATCTACTTTTGAGTTATGCTAGAAACAGATCAGCCGTACAGTCGCTTTTTAAATCAATTAAATTCAATTTCGATATTTGAATTGATCATTGCCCTGTTTGCATGCAGGGTCACTCAAATTACGTTAGCAGTCCTTTTGACATTTAAAAAAAATATTATTCATTAATTTCCCCACAAACCTGATTTCTCATTTTTGAGGATACTCTGAGTCCGTCTGGAGATGATAAAGATCTACTCAGCTTCCTGCAGCGTGGACTCATTTCTTCATCAGTTTCATCATAATCATGGTTAGTGATCACAACCTGAAAAGGACAATTATTCATCATAACCTGAACACCAGATAGTTAGTGATCACAACCTCAATACCAGACAGTTATTGATCACAAACTGAATACTAGACAATTATAATGATCACAACCCGAATACCACATATTTAGTGATCACTACCTGAATACCAGACAGTTAGTGATCACAATATGAATACCAGCCAATTAGTGATCACAACCATATCAGTGAACACCAGCCAATTTATGATCACAACCCGAATACCAGACATTTAGGGATCACTACCTGAATACCAGTCAGTTAGTGATCACAATATGAATACCAGCCAATTAGTGATCACAACCAGGCAATATTGTTGGATCAAAACCTGAATACCAGATAATTAGTGATCAAAACATGAACACCAGACATTATTGTTGGATCAAAACCTTAAAACTGACAATATGAGTGAAGATTGCTTCGAATAAATGTAAAAAACGGATAAATACACCCTTTTTACTCTTAATATTGATCCAATCATCAAACAATCAAAATTTGTATCAAAGAAGTGGTGGCGTTTTTACGAGCATATGCAGGAATTTTTCCATTTTTCAAAGGGGGTTCTGATAAACTTTCGTACAGGGGGAACTGCTTCAACCCAGGAACTAGAGGAGGGGCTTTTACCCCCTGTTTGACAATTGAAGTTTGTTATGATTACCTGAGGAATATTTGGTTTGGTTTCATGAAAGGACTGACTAGGACTGGTTGGGGAGGAAAATCGTCGACAGTTATTCATCAAAACTGTCACCTGTTGATACGGTTATACAAATTCTTAGAAAAAAAATACTTTTTAGTTATGCTAAAGATTCTCCAATGAATATGAAACATAGACATTTTAAGTGTTACATTTTTTCTACTTTTTAATTATTTTACATCAAATATGTTTTAACGGTCAAGGATACTGATGTTTATACAAATGTATTTAATTTTGTAATTTTAAAAGTACTTTTCGTTAATTTCTTTAAATTTTGATTACTCGTGTTGGGGTTTATTTATTTAGTTAAAATAGCTTCGTACTGGGTGTTATCTCGATAATTAATTAAATACAAGAAAACAGACAAGATAATAAACCGCTCCTGTGGATATGCTACCGATGTGATCCTCTGAATTGGAATAAAAGATTCAAGAGTGTCAGGAGCACCACCAAGTATGTTTGAGGAGGCATTTTGGTCCAACTCAAAGGGTGGAATCTGCTTTGAGATGTTTTCTAATGTTGATGATTCAAATTGTTTAGCTGCCTTGCTCTGAGATTCCTCTTTGGTATTCATATTTTCTTCCTTATAACTCTCTACTTGTCTGTGAGGTAGGAATTGTTTAATGTCTTCAGAATGATTTTTAATAGTTTGAAGTTGTGGAAATTGAAGAGATCTAGCAGGTTCTTTTAGACAGGATAAATTAAATTCTGAAGTGTTTTTAAAAACTAAAATTTTCTTTGAGGAACAAAACGCATAGTTTTCCGAACTTACAGTTGGACAGGACTGCGAAAGGTTTAGTTTATTTTTGGATTGAGCACAGATAAGTTTATTTGATTTATGAGCTGAGTACGCAAATTCTTCGTCAGCTTCATTTCTGAAATAAAAACAAATCTGGTTGTTTTTGAAAAAACGTAAACTATGAGAAAGTGAAAACTATGAAAAAAATATCTAATGGATTTTGATTTTTGAAATCCGCAAAAATATCTAAAGGTTTGTGAAAATATGTAAACTATGAAAAAAAATATTAACAATTTTCCATCTTGGCAAAAAAGAATTTCATCCAACGTAATGCCATCAAATTAATCCTAAATATTTTCTACATTTCGACTCCAATTTATCAATTTCGAAGAAGACATTTGAATCATATGAATCTTAAATATTTTCTTTTTCTCTGTTAAATAACACATGCACCAATAAAGCTGTTATTTGAAAGACAAGACAGAACAGATTTATTTTTACTACTTTTAATCTGATGTTCCATCCAGATTCCTATATCTTTGCAACCGAAGGGTCTACGACAGCAAGATGAAAAAATATAAAAATCAGAAAATTAAAGGAAAGCAAATAGTTTCTTTCTTATCTTATTAAATTAAACTATTACCTTTTTAAATCATACTGCGCTTCAAAATTCAAATTATCCGCCCCTGACATTTCCACTGTATCTGAAAAATCCATTATTTTGAGTTTATTCGAACTCTCTCAGCACAAACTGGTTTTTCGTCATTTAAACAACGATCAATTCATAAAATTGTCAAGGTTGTCTCAAAATCTCACATGATGCAACATTATCAATCTTCTTTAAATAAAAGAATTATTACCATCATTCTTTGCAACGCTTTATTTTTTTCTCTAGAATTTACAAATAGTACTTTTTGGGTGCGAATATAGACCTGCAAAAAATATCACTAGTTTAGATGTCGCCTTTTTTCCTGTTTCTAGCTATAACATGACAAGTTGACAACCACTTTCAAACTGACAGTTTTTTCAATAGTGTAAAAAAGTTTTGACATCCCGTATTAGGGCGTCGGCGGGACAAAAAACTATGTAAATACTTGGATAAGGGGATTATGAAGGGGAGGAGTGAACTCTATAAATAGAGAATATAACGTATCAAATTGGATTAGAAAGAAACTAAAGTTTAATATTGATAATAAAAAACAGCTTTTATAAAATATAATTTTCTCAACCATTTTTTCTTCCTCCCATTTTTGTCATTCTATCTTATGTTAGCTTTTCGCGTTTTTATTCTCTCTATTCCTAGTCTCCTTTTTATTGTTATTCACATTCTTTCCCTTTTCTATTCTTCTTATTCTCTCTTTTCTATTCTTTCTCCCCGCTATTCTTTTACCAATTTATTACCTTATGATTTAAATATAATTTGAGGGCTTAATCTTTCTTTAACCTTTATCCCACATTGTCTCAGGCTCTCTTCCCCTCTCCTCATTACCCTCCCCCCCCCTCCATTTACCCGTCTTGAAACCTTTGTACAATATCATGCTTTATTTTGACGATAATTAGATTTGAATTATAACCTAATGACATCTAAACCGTAATCGTTGTGTGATTAAAGTCCATTAAATCAGCCTTTACAGGGTTACACACAAAAACAAACTGTAAATATAAGAATATGAAACTTACTCCTTTATTCTATTTGTGATAATATACACATTTGAAATTTAAAAACTAAAAAAAATCTGAACTTTCCTATTAAATCACTGTCCGAAACCCCTGTTATACGTTCATGAGAATTGTCATTTTAAAAGAATAAAACTTGACAGTTTTATTTGCGTGAATGAAACATAGCATGACGGTTCCTTGATTGAATTTGTATGTTTACAAGCCATATTCAAATTTGAATATACTGCCTGACTTAAACAACGAATATAGTAGGGTTCATCAAAACTAACAGTAAACATTATACAGCAATGCTTTAAATTTTTGAATTGGATGCATTCCAAATATTATGTAATATTAAAATTGTGGAAAACCCATATTTAGTATTTATAGTCTAAAATTTTAAGTTTCGGAAGGAAGATTCAAGTAAGAATCAAGTGTAAATGTTTAAGGATCGAAAGTAAGGATCAAGTAAGAATCAAGTATAAAAGTGTAGGAATCGGAAGTAAGAATCAAGTTTTAAAGTTTAGGTATCGAAAGTAAGATTCAAGAGAAAAATTTTAATTATCAAATGAAATGATTAAGTGTAAAATTGTAGGTATTGAAAGAAAAGAATCAAGTGTAAAAGTTTAGGTATGTAAGAATCAAGTAAAAGTGTAAATATGGAAAGAAAAGTATAAATGTAAAAGTGTGGGTATCAAAAATAAGAATCAAGTGTAAAAGTGTAAATATGGAAAGATAAGGATCATGTGTAAAAGTGTAGGTATCAAAAGTAAGGATCAAGTGTAAGAGTGTAAATATGGAAAGATAAGGATCAAGTGTAAAAGTGTAGGTATCGAAAGTAAGGATCAAGTGTAAAAGTGTAAATATGGAAAGATAAGGATCATGTGTAAAAGTGTAGGTATCAAAAGTAAGAATCAAGTTTTAAAGTTTAGGTATCGAAAGTAAGATTCAAGAGAAAAATTTTAATTATCAAATGAAATGATTAAGTGTAAAATTGTAGGTATTGAAAGAAAAGAATCAAGTGTAAAAGTTTAGGTATGGAAAGAGCAGGATCAAGTGCTAAAGTTTAGGTATCAAATGAAAAGGATTAAGTGTAAAATTGTAGCTATTGAAAGAAAATAATCAAGTTTTAAAGTTTATTTATCGAAAATAAGGATTAAGAGTAAAAGTTTAAATATCAAATATAATGATTAAGTGTAAAATTGTAAGTATTGAAAGAAAAGAATCAAGTGTAAAAGTTTAGGTATGTAAGAATCAAGTAAAAGTGTAAATATGGAAAGAAAAGTATAAATGTAAAAGTGTGGGTATCAAAAATAAGAATCAAGTGTAAAAGTGTAAATATGGAAAGATAAGGATCATGTGTAAAAGTGTAGGTATCAAAAGTAAGGATCGAGTGTAAAACTGTAAATATGGTAAGAAAAGAATCAAGTGTAAAAGTGTAGGTATCGAAAGTAAGGATCGATTGTAAAACTGTAAATATGGTAAGAAAAGAATCAAGTGTAAAAGTGTAGGTATCGAAAGTAAGGAGCAAGTGTAAAAGTGTAAATATGGAAAGATAAGGATCATGTGTAAAAGTGTAGGTATCAAAATTAATGAGCAAGTGTTAAAGTGTAGGTATCTAAAGTAAGGAGCAAGTGTAAAAGTTTAGGTATCAAAAGTAAGAAGCAAGTGTAAAAGTGTAAGTATCGAAAGTAAGGATCAAGTGTAAAAGTGTAGGTATCGAAAGTAAGGAGCAAGGTAAAAGTGCAGGTAACGAAAGTAAGGAGCAAGTGTAAAAGTGTAGGTATCGAAAGTAAGGATCAAGTGTAAAAGTGTAGGTATCAAAAGTAAGGATCAAGTGTAAAAGTGTAGGTATCGAAAGTAAGGAGCAAGTGCTAAAAGTGTAGGTATCGAAAGTAAGGAGCAAGTGCAAAAAGTGTAGGTATCGAAAGTATGGAGCAAGGTAAAAGTGCAGGTAACGAAAGTAAGGAGCAAGTGTAAAAGTGTAGATATCGAAAGTAAGGATCAAGTGTAAAAGTTTAGGTATCAAAAGTAAGGATCAAGTGTAAAAGTTTAGGTATAGAAAGTAAGGATCAAGTGTAAAAGTTTAGGTATCGAAAGGAAGGATATCAAGTGTAAAAGTTAGATATCGAAAGTAATAAATTTGATAGAATAATTTTTGGTGACACCTATTGAATGTGGGCGTTCTGATTCACATGACATTAAACCATGTTTTCTGTCATCTGTGTCTCATAATCAAAACACAGTTGCTCAGGCGAATATACGCATTTTTAAGCCTGTTTTACGCATTTTAAAGCCTGGCGGACGAATTTTCAAGATTTTCTCAGATAAAATTTTGACCCTGGGTTTAAATTTTAACACGTCGATTTCGGCAAATTACATATTAAAAGCCAGGGCTAAAACTCAGGTTTAAATTAAGTCAGAAGTGGCATTTAAACTGAAACTTAACATTTTCATTTTAGTTTTAGACTCAGGTAAGATTAAAATCTTATAGTTATAGAAATCATACTCCTAAACATACTTATCAGATGCAGAGATGAACACCGTCTTTTAGGTTCGCTCAGTAACATTCAACGGTTTTTGACACTTTGTGATGTGCAAAATTAGCTAAAACGATTAAAGATAATGCAACGAAAACATTGATTGAAGGTGTTGCAGATTAGCGATAGCTCACGTAGATTTAACGGTTCTGTTCTGTCACTTTCAATAACAATTTGACCCTTTATACATTACTTTATAGCCTTTTTTAAAGTAATTTTTAGTCGGCATACACATTTTAAATGAAAAAGTATAAAATAAACAAATCCGTAAGTTTAATGCTTGTTGATTTATTGACGAAAACACGTTTGATTTCAAATGAAAGAAACCGAATGCTTCTCACTCTGGTTAGTCCGGGGTGAGCGTTATATCAGAAAATGGTCCGAACTCGGGACTCAACGTCGAATTTCTTTGTTCTCTTATATTTTGTTTCTCTACTTATGCATAGACAATTTCCAAGTGCTACATTTGATGAAGGTTTCGGGGTAAAGTAAATGTTCAAATGAAAACCTCTTGAAAATTAAATTTAAAATTCTTAAATTCTTTAAAAGAATTTAAACAAATTTTAACAATATCAGCAAATTTGAAATTGAAGAATTTTTAGTACTTGAAATGCCAACAAATTGTGTCATATAAATCTAATTTAAGGTATTATCATGGTAAAAAAAGAGCAAATATCAAAAAATGTTCTTGGACCAGCTAGGTTTAATGAATAGCGCTTATATTGTCATACGTTATAGAACCACTTCTATCGTAGTATAAATTTAATACAAAAAACACACGTTTCATTTTATAGTTAATTTATGTTAATATGTAAGTAAATGTTTATTTCACATAAAACTTTATTTTTGTGAATCTGCGCTGTGTTTTTATTTTCAATGTATCTGGTTGTATGTATGCAGTTGCAAGAAGTTTTACTCAATTGCATTCTTACAAATTGCATAAACAGAAGACACGCCTTTCAGACAGCAAAATTTTTTGAAATATATTGGTGATTACTGATAAAATATCTACATATATTTAATAATATTAAACTTGGTATAAAACTTGCGTCGCATGACGCATTTAATCTAAGCTAGTTGTGCTTACAATGTTTTACAATGCTTCACACACACACTGCTGCAACTAGACTAAAGGTAGAAGACCTAAACAGAACACAAGTGTGCATAAAATATGTTTAATTGTCGGTATAATAAAACAAAAAGTGAAACCTGACCCCTTTTCCCATCATCTATTGTTTTGCTAAAAAAAAATAAGATATGTTTTTTCATGCTCGTGGATATTTTTTTAGTCTTCCATTTTAACGTCTTATCACTAAGTAGCTGTAGCAGTGTTTGCTTTAGAGTTTTTAATTATTTCAACTTTTAAAAAACAACGTTTACCCTTCCCATCTCCCTCTTGTATACTATGTTCACGATTTTCAATCTTTCACATCATCATATTTTTCCATATTCTAATGTACTAAAGAACTCTTTCGTTTATCGTTGAGAAATTGCGTTTTTGCCTCAAACTCTGATTTTCTCATCCCTATATTTTTGCAACCCAATTTTGTATTTCTTATATATATATATTGTTAAGTATGAATTCTGTTAGATCAATGTACTCCCCTAGAAAAAGGCCTTACAGTAAAGGTATAGGGTTATAATGTGTACAATTTTTTTTGTAGTTTTGATATTTTGACTATCGCACTTCTAGGGGTGCAAATCTAGTATTGTATATGAAAGAAAATAACTCAATGCAAACACATGTAAATATAATATTCGTCGAGTCGGTTTTTCTTACAATTTATTATTTACAAAGATACAAAAATTAAACGATTGATACTATTCTAATAGGATATTATGAATTGAAGCAGTTTCAGAGTGATGGGGAATCTTCAAGGGAACCTCAGTTTAAGGGAGCTGATGATCAACTGATTCTTTTCCCTTCATTTCGCTCCACCCTGGGCTCTCATTTAACCCTAGTTCTCCGGGCGCTGGCCGGCTAGCCCCCCCAGCCCCCGTGCTTCTGGAATAACGGAACTTTCAGCTTGGCTTGGGTTATTTATAGAAATCTTATGCCCCTAGCCAGCTATAATCTGAGCGATCTAAAAAGATCCTTAAATCGCTGATCGTAAAAGATCAACAAAATCACCCATTGTTACACTAGCAGTTGATGTTGCAGAGGGAGTTTAATATTTATATATAAATTTAGCTTTTCTGGGTGTCTAGGTGTTTGTCTGTTTGTTTGTATCCAATAAACGTCAAAACGGCTGAACTGATCGGTCAAAATTTTTTGTGCGACTCCACGTGACCCCAGGGAAGGTTTATGGCCAATCAGACTTTAATATGTAATCTTAAAATATTTTTATCTTAAATTATTTAATTTAGTAAAATTTTTAAAATGCTCGAAAAAAATATTATGAAATCCGCAAATTAAAATTTTTTTATACTGAACAAAGAAAAGATGCTAACAGATAAAACACAATTAAAAGTTAAAAAATGAAGATAGGCGAGAAGCGCCCTAAAAGCCTAGTAAACAAAAATTAGACCTGTGATAAATTTAGTTATAAACCTCATATTTTGTAAAACTGAATATGCCTGCATATATATTACGTCATAACTTTATCTGTACCCTAACTATGTTCATTATTTTTAACTACAATTTAAGTTCTGAACAGACCCATCCGTCCATATTCTTGACATGTACCATAAAACCTAAAATATAGATCAGTTGGGTATGAATCTTTACTTTATTAAGTTTAGACACATTTCATTTCTTGTGTAGAGAGCAATAAGTTCGAAAGCGAGTTGTATCTGAACTATAAATACTAAAGAATACAGCGAGTGTCACATCTGGATTTATACGGACTGAACTATTATTCGTCGGATATTGAGTTTAAAAGCGAGTTGTATCTAAACGATAAATACTAAAGAATACAGCGAGTGTCACATCTGGATTTATACAGACTGAAGTATTATTGGTCGGATATTAAGTTTGAAAGCGAGTTGTATTTGAACGATAAATACTAAAGAATACAGCGAGTGTCACATCTGGATTTATACAGACTGAAGTATTATTGGTCGGATATTGAGATTGAAAGCGAGTTGTATCTAAACGATAAATACTAAAGAATACAGCGAGTGTCACATCTGGATTTATACAGACTGAAGTATTATTGGTCGGATATTGAAATTGAAAGCTAGGTGTATCAAAATAATACATACTAAAGATTACAGAGAGTGTCATATCTGGATTGATTATTATCATTATTGGTCAGACATTGAATTCGAGAGGGAGTTGTATCTACGGATGTTAACGTTTTAATTTTTTTTGAAAAACAATAGTTTCGTTATGAAAACGACGACAAAAAAAACGAAAACGAAACTATATCGTTTTTAAAAAAGATCATTTTGCAAATAATCGTTTTTATAAAGCTGGCCGTTTTTTTACCGATCGTTAACGACGTCCCTTCGTTAATGATCGTTAACGACGACCCTTCTTAACGATCGTTAACGAAGAGAGGAGGAGAGAGGAAACCACCCTGAAGGGAATAGGTACTTATCATTGAACAGTTTTAAAGAAAATATTAAGAAGTTGTAGCTCCCCCACAACTTTTTATCTTCATATAAGACGACATTCGATAAAGTTGCATGTAATTTTTTTTTTCAAAAACGATAATTTTTTTTAAAACGGTCGTATAAAATTTAATTGAAATAATTAATATAAATAGTTAAAATAAAAATAATTGAAATAACATCTTTAATCTTATCTCCTTATCTACTTAATAATCAATAACGATTTCCTCTTGATAAGAAATATACAAATAGAGTCCACATGCATTTTATCAACAAATTGGCCTGAATTTTGCTAATTTTTCCTATTTGGCATTTTTTTCAAGAATTTGACAAAAATATGATAAGAAGATATGGCACCAGAACAAATACAAAAATTATTCATTATCGTGAGCAGAGCGAATCGCCTGCTAAAAACCCAAAATTTCTAATCCCCTTATCTATGCAATCTTTAATATTTAAAAATTTGTATATTTAATGTAACAGAATGAAGGGTTTGAACTTTAAAAGTCCACGACATCAGGTTGCAAAGATAAAAGGATTTGAAAAGTAGGGTTTGTGACGAATGTTTAGTTCTGTTCCTTTGTTTGATCTACAGTACTAGCCAGGTATACATTAAATAAATAGATATTCAGTTCACACCTACATCACCATAAATCGACTGTCAAAACCTATTTGAAAATTTCATCTATTTATCTATCTATCAATCTATCTATCTATCTATCTAACCATCTATCTAAGTATCCTTCTATCTATCTATCCTTCTATTTACCTTTGTATCTATCTATCTATCTGTCGCTATTTATATCACATGATTAAAGGGAGTGAGCGGCTATGTAATGTAGTTGAAGTGAGTATGCAGTGTTGTGGAAAACTTCTTTCGGATTCATTTCAGACATATTAAACTTTTTAAAGATCTGTAAATCATGAGTTTGAGCGCAAATTTGACGTTCAAAACTCCTACTTTTGGGGTGGATACATTTTCAGAGTGTTAGTTTTCTTTTAAATTATTAAATAAAGACGACACAAGATGTAAAAAAGTTCTATTAATTTAAAGAATATCATTCATGGTTACACGATATTTGCGAGATTAACTTATCTGTGCTATTATAAGAAGAACTACTTAAAAAATTTTCGGTAAATGTAAAAAAGTTCTATTAATTTAAAGAATATCATTCATGGTTACACGATATTTGCGAGATGAACTTATCTGTGCTATTATAAGAAGAACTACTTAAAAAATTTTCGGTTCAATAATATAAATCATAATGCATTAAAGCTGTAGAGGATATATTAAAAATGCTACATTTTCATTTGAGAATTTTTGGAACTAAGAATTTACATCTGTTTTTAACTCGTCTCTGTTAAAAGAAGTGAAATCAAGACTTAAAACTCTTTTATTTGACAATCTAAAGGGGCTTTGTCTCGAATGATTTTGCAAAGAAATAACCATGTTTAGTGTCAACAGCTGTAGGATACCATAATTGAGAACAAAATTAGAAGGAAACAAACACTTACATGCGTATCTCAAGTCTAATCTTTCGTGAGCATCACTGTAGAGTGTTTATTAATACTGAATGGCGTATACAAATCAGGGGGCGGAAACGTCATGTGTGTATGTCTGTACTAAAAGTAAAGTTTACCGAACCGAAAGTGTGTACTGTAGGTATATACATTACATACGAATCTGGTATTTGTACAGTCTAGGAGAGTACATTTGTTTATTTTTAATTGTTTACTTAAAAATAAGTATAATATACATGAAGTATATTATTTATATATTTAAGTCAACACTAAAAGCCAAATTTTCATGCAAAGAATATGATTTGACTAAAGTTTACAATAAACTAGTCGTTATTCAAGCTTAATTATAATTGACAACATTGATCTGCAATTTCCTTGACGGTAGTCATGTTGTGAGTCTGTACCAAAAGAGTGTGTGTAAGGTTTACCGAACTTGTCTGCAAAGCAGTGCGACTGGCTTTCTCATGCCAGACCAGCGCGATTTCCTTTCAAACTGAAACTATATATCTCTCTTTTCCTCTTTCCTCTCAATATTTACATACTCCTAGAGACCCGGCTGAAATGAGAAATGATTGAGAGTATATGGCTTAAAGTCTGTTTAAGGGGCTCCTGAAGACGAACAGTCAAACAAATTAAAGGGAGGAGCAGATCTATCTGGGAGGTTAAATAGGGCAGACATGGGGAGGGGTAAGGTAGTAGGAAGGGTGTGGGGAAAATGAAGGTTGGAGGAATATATACATTATTATACAGTTCATATTCATTAAATGACTGAGCACGGAAATCGTCTAGAATATTCTGAATCAAATAAATACAGGGTTATTCAAAAATCATTTGGAAAAAAATTAAACCTTAATTTTACATGCAAGGATTTTCAAATCTTCGGGACAAAAGAACATCACATTTCTTATTCAAGAAAGGAAATTAAACAAATGGTTTATTTATTTGATTTGCATAAATGAAGATTTTTTGTTAAATCTAAAAATCAGGATTTAGAAGTAGGGATTAGTGTTTTTTTTATGTTTAAATAAAAAGATTTTCAAAAAAAATCATAAACAATTTGTCCAGCGTGACTCTTCCTTTAAATTATTGTAAAGATTATAATTTCTCTTAACATAAAAGTAGATGTGTGTTACAAATGTTTTAAATAATTGTGACCTAGATTTTGTTTCTATTTTTAAGATCAGAAGATGACTCACACAAAATATATAATAAGTTAAATGTGTTCAACTAATTACATATATAATAATAATATTAATATTATTGTCTAAAAACTCCTTCTTTGGCCAGGGAGGCAGTTGATGCGTAGGCAACTAGATTATTGGTTTTCATCGCACTAAAATAGAAATATGAAAGTACAAAGGTCTCCATAAATACAATGACGACTTTAAAACTAAATAAATGATTCAAAATCTCCTAATGGATCAGACCACTCTTTAAGTTGCATGATCCGAGCTGGTACAACATTTTCTTTATATGCATTTAGTCGTACTGTCCAGTCTGAACTACCAAATTTAAAGTCGACCCAGCACGTTGTATGCAACTGCAGTAGGCTGGCAAGATCACAATGAATAGGAGACACATCAAAACTAGTGGCTAAAAACGTCCAATAAACTTAAACATTTCTTTGATGTCTTCCTTTTCTACTGTATTATAGGATTCACTGTAGGAACAATTAATAAAATTAGAGTATACAATGTCGCCGCCTTTTGACTAACATTACCGATCCATAATTCCTACAACAGTGGGAGAGAGGGATCTTTAGTTACTTAACTCTTCCAGAGCCCGCGATTAAAAAAATATGGGAAAATGGCTCGGGTCTAAGCTGTCGTTGGACCTTATTTACGGCTTGAGCTTTCGGATTCAAGCTGCATCTTATTTTCCAAAGAGTTCAGTTTAAAAAACCGGTTTAATATTCTATTTAGCAGATAGATTTTAATGGTAGGAATTGGCGCATTCCGGGATTTTCTGAGAAAAAGACTCAACAGGGAGCCTAATTCTCCACTAAAACCAACCAAGGTCGGTTTTATTTTTATTGGGCCTAACTCCTTAAGTCGAGCCGAAGATTTTGCAGCTGTCAATCACGTGACACAAGCTGACGTTAGCATTGGGTCGAAGATTGGATCTTAAAGTCGGGTTTAAGGAATTACGGCTCGAGCTCAGGATTTTAAATCGCGGGCCGTGGGGTAATTAAGTAAAATACCATATCTTTGCGAAAATTTTGTCAGTAAAATTCACACATTTTCATCTCAAAAGAGGATAAAGATGTGAATAAGTATTTTTTGGGAAATTAAAGATTTGCTTAAATTTTCTGTAAAGCAGTTGTAACAGTCAGTTAGCGCTTAAAAAACATAATTGACTTATTTCTTTTACCTTTTATCGCTATATTTTAGGAAGTTTTATTTAAGTAAAAAGCGAACCATTCAGTTTTTGTAAAATAAACTCGCTGATTATCATTTTCAAATGCATAAACTTGTAAAATAGCTAAGATTTTAACGTTCAGTTCGTTAAATGAAATCTTTTTTAAGTAAATAGGCTATAGTTATTTAGTTCAGATGACAGAAACAAAGATACCCCTTTAAACCTTTTTCAATTCATCATTGTGGAAAATATTGTCGTTTTTCTACAGTTTATTGGTGTCAATTTCTCCGGTATTATTTCTCATGCAGGATACACAATTGACACTTGGAAAACAACAATTGAAAGAAACCAAGAAAGTAGATAATTGATATCTTATGCTGTGAATATTACACAAATGGAGAGTTAATTAAAATGAGGCGTACATTCCCTCAGGGTAAAGAAGCAGTAAAAAATGAAAAAAACATTAAATATTTTGATACTTACTTGTTGATGGGCGGGGTTACGCTGATTGCAGGAATTTCGGAATAGAAAATTTTCAAATCCTGAAAAACAAGCGTTTAGCATAGATGCATGATATAAACTTTGAGTATATAAGTTAAAAAATAATCTTGTTGTTGTTTTGCATATACTACTAAAAACACTGATTCTTAAAAACAAAACCGATCTCTGCAGGCTGAAAAACTGCTGCGGGTATTAGTAGGCATGTTATAAAGTTTGAGTATATTAGTTAAAAAATAATTTTGTTGTTGTTTTGCATCTACTACTAAAAACACTGATTCTTAAAAACAAAACCGATCTCTGCAGGCTGACAAACTGCTGCGGGTATTAGTAGGCACATTCTTATTTAACTCTTTTTTAATACCTTACCTTGGAATAATACCACACAGCAACATCACACAGTACTCCGAGGGATGAGATTGCTAAAAGATGTAAAAATGAAAATTCAGCTGAAATTAATTTTTTTTCTAAAGTTTGGAACTATATCTAACAGAATTGATTATTCACTTCACACTCTAGTTTTCTGATCGATGGTCTAGCGATGTACTAAATTCATTTAAATAATTTCCACTTTTACCCAAATGTTGACTGGGAGAATTTCAGCTTGGAATGGAAACGTTGTTTTGCTATGTTATATTCATAAACAAAGGAACTGAGTTTTACAAACAAACTAAAATTTTCCCATCACTTTAATTTTGCAACCAGATGGTAAAAACCATTTTTAAACTTTTCTTCTAACGATATATCAAATGTTTGAATGTCTACGACATCGGGGGGCAAATATATATGTATTACAAAATGAGATTTTGAGGCAAATTTCATTTCATTTGGTGTTAAAATATAAATACCTGCAGTTGTAAGCATCAAGACTTTTCTTAGAGAATCAGTGTCATACAAGAGACAGTTAGTAGTGTCACCACATTCCTGTATAAATATAAAGAAAATAGTTAGCTTTAAACCTTTCTGTGTTTTGATGTTTCATTAAATATTTAAAATCATAACTTGAGTCAAACAGTCGCATTCTTAATTTACAGTCTTATGTAGTGTCATTGAAAAAAAAAAAAAAATACAAATTCGGTTGATAATTTTGAAAAAAAGATTTAAATTTAAATTGAACCTCTTCTCTAAGGATCGATGATAGAGAAAGGAGTAACAGTATAGGGCCAGGGGTATTGAACCATCTTTCTTATCTAGAGAACGGCATTTCTTATGCCGGCAGAGAAAGCAGATCGTCGGCTATCTTAGCCCCAGAGTTCCAAAGGGGAGTTAGTAAGCATCCGATCAGAAGAGTCAAATGGCAATATATTAGCCCATAGCGACTATCATGTATATTTAGATCAACTCTGGTTGGTCCAGCAATAATTGTTTGTATCATCATAATGTAAATATATTGTGTGTGCAACCATGCTTTGTTATTCCACTCAATCTTGGCTTTTTGATACTGAATTATTTTCAAGTCTATAATATGAAACAGATGAAAAAAATACATTTCTGTTTAGTCATTTATAAATAATCAGGTTCAGTAGTGTCCCCACTAAAACCAAGATGGATATATACAGACGACATTTCAATCAATAAAAATTTTACCTCCTGCCAAAGAATACAAGATTGGTCGATTATTGCCCCGTACACAATCGGAGAAGGCAGCATCGCCAGTAGTGACATGAAGACGACCTAGAAGTAATCTTAAATAAGGATTTAAGGGAAAATACATTTCAGGTAAAGAAAAATATTCCTGATATAAGTGGTAATCAAAAAAATGTGGACAGATTTTTTTCTTCAACGTTATTTCGATTGATTAAGTGATATTGCTATTTTTTGTTATGTCCTTGTTATTATTACTCATATAATTTCAAAAGTTTTCAGGGCACATTTTTGAAAATAATTAGTTACAAATTACAAAATGATAAAATGAAATAATTCCAGTGATTCCAGATTACTACTGAGTCATACCTGGAATGCCATAGAAAGTGCTTTATCTCTGACTTCTATACATCTTAAAGCTACCAGAAGGTTTCCTACTCTACCAGTCGAGGCAACAATGGACAAAACAAATACTGAAATTTTGAAAGTTATATTACAAAATAAATAAAAAAAATATTTCTACAAATCAAAGTTCAGATTTAAAATTGATTAAATCAAGTTTAAATATTTCAGGGAGAGGGAGTGTTTGGGAATAATTAATTGAAAGTTTTTTTTGATTTGGTTATTTTATTTATAGCAATCACTTATCAAAAGCCCCTATATTACTGAGCATCAATTTTAAAGCTAGTGTTTATGGCTTTAAGAAATATTTTAAGACCTAAACGAAAACGTTGATTAATTAACAACGTCGTCTTTGTTTGAAATCCATGATCAAACGCACTGAAAACATAGATTTAGTATTTACTTTTGTTGGTATTTTTTGATTTGCTGCTTCACTGACCTATTGCTATTGTAAAATAGGTATTAACCCAACCCCCATATATTTATCGCGAAAATTACAGTTTGTTCTACGAAACATTACAGTAGCAACTAACAAGACGTCTTAAAAGACGTCTTAGGATGAATTGTGTGTATCAGATTGTAAATGCATTGGAAACTGTGACTAAAAATAATATTTGGCTGGAGAACGAGGTAGTGTGACATGCTTTTATGTTTTTTCGCAAAGGCGTTTTCCCTAGGATGACTTCCCAAGTGACAATTTCCCACGTGCCATTTTTCCAAATGTCCAAGCAGCAACTCCAAACTGTGCAATTCAGGCTAAGCGCTGTGGGCAGGATGGGCTAGGGGGCATAGCGCTGCGGCTGGGACAGATTTAGGAATTTGCCGTTTGGGAAATTGAACATTTAGGAAGTTATTACTTGAAAAATACCCTTGGGAAGTTGCCTTTAGTAAAGTACCAAACATCTGTAAAACATGGATCTCCATGGGATTGAATGAAATGTAAAAAATATCCAGAACTACCCCAGGAAACAGAAGTGGAAATCCGGGTTACGGTCTACGTACGGAAATGATCCGGAAATTTTTTCCATTTCCATTATGGAAAAGGTTCCGGAAAACCGGAATTCCAGAACGATTTCCGGAACGATTTTTTTTCCATAAAACGGAAATTTCCGGAACGTTGTTCCAGAATTACGGATCGTTACGGAATTCCAGAACGTTCTGGAAATTTCCAGAATGTTCCAGAATATCGTTCCGGAAATTTTCCAGAAAATTGTTCCGGAAATTTCCTGTTTCCGGAACATTTGGTACCAGAATTACATTAAAGTCTTACATATGTAAATACAACACCAGTTAGTAACACTAACAATATATGGATGGATGCTGGACGGTAGAAAAAGTTATACTCAATAATCAATATTCAAAGTTACTATAGTAAAAATTCTTTAAGTTCCGTTTTACGGAATGGAAATTTTCCAGTTTACGTTTCGTAAACCGTAAAAATTTCCAGTTTACGGAATGGAAACCGGAAATTTTTCCGGTTTACAAAATGGAAACTGGAAATTTTCTGGTTTCCATTTATACCAGAATTATCCCGGAATTCCGGTTTACGCAACAAATTTCCGGATCATTCCATTTCCAAAATGGAAATCTTTTTTCTGGAAAAATGGAAACCTTAATGATACAGCTAGTTGTTAACTAGTTGTCCTAAGCTCCACTTTATTTCTACTTTGACTCTACTTTTGAATTTCTGTCACCAACTGGGTGAAATCTGGAAGCATAAATTTGACAAACTTAATTTTTTAAATCCCAGTTTTTACCAGGTTAGGCTGAAAACTTGATATTCAAATCTCCCCTTCAAAACTCCACTTTAACTCGACTTAAACTCCGCTGTTAAACTCCACTTATCAGCTGGATGAAATCTGGGTGCATAAACTTGGCTTAAACTTCCAATATCTAGGCGCATTAACTCAAGTTTTAACCCACTTCTCTTGCAGGTGAAAACTCCATCTTAAAACTCAATTGAAACTCCACTTCTGGAAGGCAAAAGTAGAGTTTCTGTTTGCTGTGGCGGTTTCTGTACTCATTTTCATTTTTATTTATTTCTAAAGACTTAGTAACATTGCAATTCTTGAATGAAAAAAATGTTTTTGATTAAACCAAAGATAAACATGTCTTTGTCAGCTATGCCTTATAAACTCCTAGTTTTTTTAAAGATTGGTCACAAAATGTTCTTAATTATTAACTGTTGTTGACTTAACTTCATAAAATTAAAGATCCAGCAAAAATAGTTGACCTGCAATCATAAATTGATAAAATTTCTCCTCACAACCTTCCACCTTACACCATCCAGATACTGCTTCAGATACAGGTTCTGAAGCATAACTCCTTAAATACCAGGCTATTAGATGTTAATTTATTTTCATATACAATGTATGACATATTTGTAAATGTAAAAATGATAAACCAAATTTTGAAAAACAATGACTAAAGGTTTTGTTTAAACTTAACAAAATGTCAGCCCTGTCAGAATTATGAATTGATTTATATTAGGCTCAGATATTATTGATAATATATAGCTTGATTTTAACATACACTGTCTGCTATCTTCATATTCATGCTTCCCTGTAACTGTAATATTGTGCCTTTGTTCGCTAAAAACTTAATCAGCCATTTCTTGACTTTATCCGAGCTAGAAGGCCCAATTTGACCTTGGGATCGTCTTAGCTTTTAAGTTTCAAATCATATTTTACAGTCTCGTCCTTTGTGGTAGAACCTGTATATAAACATATGCAAATTATGAATATTTGTTCTAAACTGCACCTGTGTGTTTCTTCAATAAGAACGAGTGGAGCATGAGATACAGATTTGAGGATATCCTTCTCAATCCATTCTTTAGAAAGAGATGTATTGAAGGTAGATCTAGCCTCAGATACACACAAACAATTTCCGTACTGTTTCTTTCTAAAACAACATTACTCTAATTAACATGTCTTTTTGATATATTCATGATATTTTCCATATTATGAGAAATTTATTCAAGACATCATATCCATCACAAAATGATTCATTCCATGATTTAAATCATATGCAATGTAACAGATCAAAGAATGACTACTTTTACTTTCCTCTGCATGGCCTTATGTATATAGTGTTGTAAAACTATAGGCAGGTGTAAGTGATCAAGTTAACTAATTGACTTGTAGACTCATTGTTTAGATGACTTGTTGACTGGTTGATTCATTGTTTAGTTGACTCGTTTACTTGTTAACTAAGCTCCTTAACTCGAGTGCACAAAAGTTGCAAATATTCACTAAGATGAATATATTTCAAACCTGCAATAAAATGCAGGTATAGTAAAATAAATGTCAATGTATACATGTTATTGAATGTTTATTAAGATATCTCACTATTTTGTTGTAATAAGAAGTGATTAAGGATCAGAGGATTTGATTTGTAAATACTTCTAAAAATATAAACCCAGTTGTTTGTTTACTGTGGATATCAAAGTTATTTGTGGATTTGATTTTTCACAAGCAATACATTTTACTGTTTCAATTTTCCTTCGTCGGTGTAGGAAGGTAGAGTCGGAGAAATTGTTTGCCCAGAAAAAATCTTTACTGACTTTATGTGCCAATGACAAAGTTGGTGGGTAAATAATCCTAGACTTTATATGTTCATCATCAGTTTGTCGGAGACTAAATGTTTGCAGGGTGATTAGTAAAGTTTGAAGAAAACTAAAAAATTCTATTTCTTCAAACTCATACTCGACAACATTACGTTGGGGTGGGGGGTGGGGGGGGGTAAGGAGACAGATTTAAGGTCAACAGTGGCGGGTGCTAAAGTTTGAAGGTGAAAGGATTAGTATGAGAATAAAATGTGAACATAAATCATGCAATTGAGGGTAAAGCAGAATATGGGATTGATTGATTGAAATGTGATTGATATAGTTCTTGAAATTGCCATGTAAAGTGAAGATCTAATTTTAACTGAGTTGAGACTTGAGGTTGGATAAATAAATGAAATTGAAAGAATCAAAAATTTTAATTGTTGAATTGTTGGATAAATAAATAAATTGTAATTGATGTTTGTTGGATGAATAGATAAAACTAAATAAAATAAAAATTGAAATTGATGTATTAAGTAACATTTGCTCATTTTGCCAATGTTAGTTAAGCAGAGATATTATTTCCAGCCTTTTAGATTTTACAATGAAAGGTTTGAGAGTTAATCAGCAAATATATTATGGAGCTCACATGCAGTTTGAACGTTATCTGGGATCAATCCAAGTGTAGTCTTGAAGGATGAATTACGGCGGGTAATGAGGTTAAAACAATGTCTTTTCCTCTTTTTATTCTCAATTAAGTGAAAAATAAAAAAATAAAAATTATTGATTTAAATAAAGGACAGTTAATAAATAAGTTTAAGAATCAAGATTCTTGAACTTGTATTTTAGATTTAAAATCTTGGGAATAAACTTGATTATTACAAATTAGCAAAAACTTTATTTTCCTTAAAAAATAAAATGAATTGTAAAATTATTTATCATTGGGAACCCTGTAACCAGAATTCAATGAGCTCTATAGCGCGTTGTCAGAGGATTCAGTGTAGAATTCGTCTTGAGGATCTGGATCAGCAGCAGAACCTGGATCTGTTAAAGAATCAGGCTTGGTTGAAGGAACTGGTTTGATTGGAGGATTAGGGGCAGTTGAAGGATTTGGTTTGGTTGGAGTATCTGGTTTGGTAGATTCTTATCATGGAAAGAGGTCAAAAATCTGGTTGACATCTCTGCCAAAGATGTCAGTGCTCCCAAATTATTCAATTAACTTGATCTTAAAGTTGTTCCAGTTGGTGATGTGGTTAAAATAGTTCATTGATAGCATTGATGGTGAGCACCAGCTTGACAGAATCTTTGCATCTGGTCAAAGTGAATCTGTGAATGGATGGAGAACAGCCAAGGGTAGAAATCATAGGACTGGACACTCCAGTTGGCAGTGAAGAGTTTGGGGGGCTTGAAACTGGCAGGAGTTGTTGGGTAAGAATGGTTTAGGACTCGTTCGCTGGGTGGGGAGCCGGGCAATGGGATAGTCCTGGCAATGTGGGAATCCAGGATGTTCATAGTGGTCAGTTGGGTAGCACATAGGGTGGAGCAGCCATAAAGAAGGAAATCCATGCTGGATTTTAGGATTTGTCTGTACAGGTGGTTGATGTCTTCCAGTTCCTGGACATTATTCATCTAATTTGCATTTAGTAATGCATAGGTGAGAAGCAGGATGGGGTGGTAGGCAGGTGGTTGAGGGAAGAGGATGGTGGGTGGAGAGGGCTGGGTGGTTTTGCTGTTGTTCAGGTCCACATCCAGATTGCGAATGTGGTTGGTTGGCATGCTACAGATCATACAACCTTATAGAAGGCAAGGAGAATTTCTGGTGAATACTTTCTGAGGCTCTTGGGATCTCATTGTTGTCTCCATTTGTAACATCCTGTTGAAGAGATTGAACAATGTTCATTGGTTTCGGATTGGCAGTTTGAAATGAAAAACTAAAGGAGGGCATCAGTGACTAAGTTGACTAATTGACTTTTAGACTCATTGTTTAGATGACTTGTTGACTCCTAGACTCATTGTTTAGTTGACTTTTCCTCTTGTTTACTAAGCTCCTTAACTCAGGCACAAAAGTTGCAAATATTCACGAAAATGAATATGTTTCAAAAATGCAAAAAAATGCAGGTATAGAAAAAATAAATGTCAATATGTAAATCTTATTAATTGTTTAATAAGATATCTTATTATATTGTTGTGTCAGGGTTATAGGGAGTGACTAAGGATTGGAGGTTTGATAGAATAGTTAAAACGTTTGCAAATACTTATAAAAATATAAATCCGGATTTTTAAGTGTAATTTACTTGGATTGCAAAGTTATTTGTTGATTTGATTTTTTACTATTAAAACATTTCACTGTTTCAATTTTCCTTTGTCTTAATAAGGAGCTAGAGTCAGAGAATTGTTTGGTTTGGATTTGGGACAATATTACTTGCTTTTCATAAATTCCAACAATAGATATAGCTTACTTTCCATCAAGACTTAGAAGCTCTGTGCATCCAGCATAACAGGGAGAATAAAAGTTGGTAACTCCATCTGTAAATTAATATTAAAAGTTGGTTTCCATAAAACTGTGATAATTTTAATGGCGACACAATTGGCTACAAGTTATTTTGTTTAAGATCTTTTCCTAAAAACCTAATATATGTTTAGATTTTTCTCACAAGAATTGCAAGACACTATGATTAGAATGTGCCAAAAGTTGCATATGAGGTATTCATCATATTCTTTTAACAAAAATACCCTAAGGGGGATGGTGCTCTTACAGACACCCCTTTACATTTTCTTATTGATGTATTTCCTATTGGTCGCCATTTCTGTCATTAAAAACACCTGATATCACTACTCTAATTCATGGCAGTTCATACTTTTTGAAAACCCTTGGGCTATATTTTAATAATCTTCAAAAAAATGGATTTCAAAATCCAGGTACTGAGCAAAAAAGGGCAAAAACATAAATTGCGGAAAATATGATATATTATTCATTTTTTAAATCCCTCGATCCAGCAAAATAAAATATGCAAAAATTATAAAACTCAAGTGTGTATTCAAGTCTAGGGCCAATCATTAAAGACAACCATTTATGGCTTGATGAGTCATGTTACAAATCATAAAATAAGTGTGAAGGTAATCGTCATATTTTTTAACAAAATAATGGATCTGATTATTCTTTAATGAGTTTACAAAGCTGTACCTTTTGAACAAATAGGTTGAGGTCTTGTGACGGGACAACCACACTCTTTATTACAACTGACGTTTATATCATATTCTCCTGATACGGACATATCACCGTACATGCGGGAGGTCGGACATCCAACCTAAATATATTTAAAGTTTAGCCTATTTGGCATAAATGACGGATTGTTGGGGGGAAGGTGAGGCCTGTTTTGAAGGGTGGCAACTAGCTATGGGGTTTCCAATTGCAATTACGCAAAAATTGCGCGCAACTCTACCGAATTGCATGTAATTGTTATCAAATTGCTCGAATTGTGTGGAATTAAAATCCACTTGCGTTGGAAATCCTAGTGCCAAATTACAGAGAGATCTGACAGGTTACTCAAAATGTGGATTATTTTATTATTATTTTTTTTGAAAAATCTATAAATGACTATTGTTGTAATAAACATAAGGATCATTTTAAAATCTTTTTTTTTAAGGAAGCAGCTTAAATTTTTTTATTAGGATTAATGATCTTTATAAAAAACGAAGATTTCTGATTTTATTGAATTTTGAAAATTTTTCTAATTTCCCCATCATTTTTAAAGTACAGAAATGACCGGCACATTTTGGGAATCCCAAGACGTTTTAAGTAAAAATAAAAATAAAATAATAGGGGACATCCTATATTCCAATGTGGGTTTTTATAGAATAAAAATTATATTTTTAACAAATTTTCATCTGACCATAAGATAACGCTTATCTAACAATTTTCTTATTCAGTTTATTGTTTGCAACAGCTGGCTCAGCTGATTTACAATAAGTTTAAGAAATGAAGATTTTTATCATTATCGATTATGGAAAAAAATCAAAGATCTATAAATGACTATAATTCTGATAGCCTGTAGGATTATTTTTAAAAGAATTAAGTAACTGCAGTTTGAGGATTAATTATTATCATTTTATTATTATTTTGTTCATAAGGATTAATGATATAAATATTAAACACATATAATGAAGATTAATATAGATGTAGATATTCATGATTTCTTCTGAAAGACCATATAATAAATTAGTTAGATAAACATTTTTCTTAAACATTTAAAGATAATTTCTGTAATTGGAAATTATAACCAATCTTTGGTAATTTCTATAATGTCATATCAAAAATAGAACTGTGCATGTTAGCGCTTTTTCAGTCCGTTTGTTGACTATTGGCAACAGTTCGTTTTCAAAAAATAAGTTAACGAGTTTTTTTGTTAACATTTTTCTGTTAATTCTTTACAATTACAGCCCGTTAACGGAACTTTTCCCTGCCAATCTGTATAAAAAAATTTTATTTTAAAACTAAAACTGATTCTTTCCAAAAAAGAATTTTATTTTTAATTTGCTAATTTCCGTCCATCAATGCAACTTTGTTTCGACCTTACATAAAAATACATAAACTAACCATAGAGAAGAATATTAGAACAATTATGTAACAAACTCCCAGGAACACATTCCAGCCTGACAATGTTCTGGCAGAAAATTTGAATTTCCCGATGAGGTATCCGGAAAAAATTAGACCAAAAGCTTTAGCTCCAGTTCCTATTGTTCCAGCGTATACAGAAGATCTGGATCCAGTTTGCCTGAACAAAGATCACTACGGGTTAAATTTGAATTAATAAATGACCGAATACAAACTAGGCGTACTATTAAGACCTCTATTTCTAATGATAAAATTAACTTTGCGATTAAGGGGGATCTAGCACTGCGGCTAGGACTTGCCACTTCATTTGAACATTCATTTAATAGCACAAAAAGACATTCAATATCAGAATCATATATTAGAAAGTTATTTAAAAATATTTTAGTTTTTAGAATTTGACGTGTCAAACATTAATACCTGAATTGAAACTCAATATATTTTGGCATAAATGTTCCGAATCCCATGAACGCAAAAACAACAAAGATGGATGAGAAAAAGTTCCACATAAACAGCTTGTTGGTGAGAAGACGTATTAACGCAGCTTTGAAGTTTGTTCTCGCCGCAGATTCCTGCTTTGTCAAGGTCTTCATTTCTGCTGATTCCTGTAATGAATTTTCTAACACATATAAATTAGTGAAATGTAAATGTAAATGTAAATGTAAATGTATGTGCAAAAAAATTCCATATCGAATTCGATTTGGATTGATTTTACAGCGCCGTATTATTTCGTTATCTTCGCCTAAATACAATTTTTCTTCAAATCACTATCTAACCTTGCTTGCGTCTGAGTCGGCTTTAGGTAATCGTTGTGGAAAGAGAACCAGTGGAGCTAGGAATCACAGATTTTTTTATTTGGATTAAAAAACCCGTTCTTTTGATTTTATTTGACTGTCTATTAAAAGAGGGCCATGTCTGAATTCGATTCAAAACTGTGCTACGGATCCTCTGAAAACTTTTGCTGGTCAATAAAGATTCTTTTTCTAGTTTTATAAATAATTATTTTTGACAATTTCCTCTATTGGTTCTTTGGCAGACATCTGCAAATAGTATTTGTTTGTAGAAAAACCACATTAGAAATTAAAATCATACTTTTAAAGGAGGCCAGTCCACCCTCTCAAAGTTTTATAGAGGATCCCATTTTTTCCTTATAACGCAGGTTTTGAAGTTTTTATCTCATTTTTTGGGAATTTAAAAATTCTTGATGTTTTTTTTAAAATTTGAATTTTTCATTACTTTTTTCGTTAATTTACAATATTTATGGCCATTCTACAATTAATTTCAGAGTTACAAGTGAGGTTAAAATCAAAGGAAATGAGTCTTTGTCACAAACTCAAATTTTCCTATATTATATCTTTGCAACCGGAAGCTGTAAACCTGTGATATTTCAAACTTAGATTACTTGATCTATCAGAATTCATAGTTTGAAATATTTAAGGTTTACGACAAAGGCTTGTAAAGATATACGAATCAGAAAATCATAATTTGTGACAAAGACTCAATTCCTTTAAAATCCTTGATAATATGATTAAGTAGAAATTGCTGATGTTTTTTTGTGGGAATCTACAGGACAATCTGAGTAAAGAGTTTTAGATGAAGAAGAAATTCAGTGCCTCTACATTTTATCGGGATGTATAATATGAATAAAAAATTGCTCTGGATGAAATCTTGACTTTGAGTCTGACGTGCGAATTGATCCTGAGGTCAAAATTGTGTCTTGTAAATCTCGGGATCAAACTCTGATCTATACAGATGTACAAATCTATGGTATAAGATATAATTCCTTTCGGTTATCCCGTGGCGATCCTACCATACACACAGGTAGCGGAAATGAAGACATCGAGCACCAATCTTTAAAATTTAAAAGTTGCCACCAGTGTAATTTCACACAAAAGTTTTGACTTCTCGGATAAAATATTTTAGAGATCACCAATGAGAGATCAACGAGAGACTGAGTTGAACACTATTCCAATTTTGCAATTGCTCAATTTTCTATTCCTTTATATACGCAACCAGATTTTCTAAACCTATTCTATTTTAATCAAAGAATAATAATTCTAATAGAGTTAATAGTTTAAAATATCAAAGCTCAATTGGATGTAGGGATTAGAACATCGAGTTTGTGATTTGAGAATTCAATTATAAATAAAGTCCATTTTTGTCGTTTTTATTATGTAAAAGGTTCATGCTTTTTTTCAAGATCATGTGATGTGGTCTCACAACAATCTCGCATTTCAACTATTCTGTGTGTAGAAATTAATCTTATAAAGATAATTGATGATTAAGATGGTAAACAAATCTGTTTCCTGAGAAAATGAGAAGCAGAGTTCCAATAATTGGGAATCCGATCCACCAAGCTCCTAACCATCTAGGATCTCCCTCACCGAACCCTGGATCCACTCCAGGGTAAACATACGTGTTCAAACACTTAGAAAATATATATTAATGGATCTGTAATTGCGACCCTCCAAGCAAGAAGGATAATGTATGATTCACAATGGCACCCTTGAAACCTTTATCTAATCAATAATGTTGATGATATGGTCGTTTTTCTTAGGTTAAAAGTGTTTAGTTCTGATAATTTCGAAATTTTTTCTGCTGTAGAAAGGCGCAACTCACCGTATAGTAAAGAAATCACAATGCAAATCTATCAGTTTTCAAAATTATAAACATTGAAAATTTCTCCATGAAAATATAAAAAAAAATTAAATACCTTGGCACCCAGCATATAACCCAGGGTTGGTCCAACTAATCTAAAATTACATTATTAAGATCTTAAGTAAACTTTGTTAAAATATTATCGTACTAATAGAGTAATAGTTTATACAAATAAAGCAGTATTCTTCAGAATTTTAAAATTTTTGATATTTTTGAAGTAAATTTTTTAACCTTTTCTTGGGATCTGTGATTCGCTTTTTTTCGTGAAATTTCACTTTTATTCGTTTTGCGAAAATTTTGCGAAATAAGAAATGCGAAAATTAAACGTTTTTAAAGATATTAGATTATCAGAATTGGAAAGTACTCATGATCATTTATGACCTAATAGATCTAAGATTATGCGATATTTCTTTTCAAGATTTTAATTATCATGAAAAAATCTGTTTTCCATTTACTAACTAACTACTAACAAGCGATATTCTATACTTATTACGTACCTCGTTTAAATCATTATTTTTATTTTTAATTGATTTTTGATTAAATTTAATAATTATAATAAACAAAGAATGTGTTTACTATTTTACCTAAATGTAAATGTAAGTCCCAACATGAAGGGTGAGTTTTCTTTTCCTGAATTATCATCCAAATAAACAATCCCAAAACTGTAGAAAAGAGAGTTCCCAATTCCCGTCAGACCAATTCCAAAGAAAACAAACATCAAACCAAGCCAGTCAATATTTCTAGATCCATCTGCATTACATACACCTAGAAAATATAAAAAAGACAGTTCCACTTCAAAAAAATCAAACAAAACTGCAAATTAAAAATTTTTCCAGTCTAAGTTTTGCACTTTTCTATTGTGGCGGTTCAAGTAAAAGAGAATTGGTTCAACTATAAATATTCCTGGTTCTTCTATAGATCAGCAATGATTCAAAATATTCTTTAGAAAAAATAAGCATTAGACGTTGAAAGAAGTAAAATCTTGTTAAATTAAAACAATAGAGCTCGGCGCAATGATGATGCCCTCTGAATAATGAATATCATAATTTATCCATCTTTGAATAAAATTTATTCATCCATTTAAAAAAATTGTGTGCCAGATAGTTTTCTTAAAAAATAGTATACAATATTTTAAGAAATACAAATTTAACATAAATAAAAACCTTCTAGAGAGTTGTAATGAACATCAGATCCGCACAAATCTGAATCTTTGACCAAATCTAAAATAAAGTATTTGAATTTTCCAAGATGTACCACTACTCTTCAGCTTGAGCCCGAGCATAGAAGAACTGGTTCAAATTAGTCTAAAATAGTTCAACTACATAAATCTGGTCTCCATGATCTCAGTTTTTTACGATATATCATCCTCAACGCCAGACAGACACAAAAGCTAATTTTCAGTATAATTCAATGAAAAAAGTTGTAATCTATTTAGTAGAATAAAGAAGTATTTATCATGCATAGCTCAAATGGTATACAACTATCTACATGAACGTGATTCAACGATATCTCTCTATTCATTAAATCTTTATCCCAACTCTCATATAATTCGCTAATAAAATTTTTGTTGATTTTTTATATCAAGCTAAATTGGGGTTTGCTACTTTAAAATTAAAGAATAAACATGTAGCTTATGAACCTTTGATATCAAATCTTCTACGACTTCAACTTTGGTCTACCCTTAATACCTGTTATGAATAGGCTACTGCTGGGAATAACTAACATTTTTTATTATGATGAATTAAAAATAACAATGAGAACTCATTGATATTTGCGACTTTTACTAACCAAATAAACCTATAGCAGTGAAATCATATACCTGAAGCTATAACACTCTCAGTGGCAATATCATTGTATCCTGTTATAAAGTGTGGTAGTGCCATCATATAAAGACCTATTGCAGAGATGCCAAGCCCTATTCCACACCACATAGGCCTCTTTGTAGCCTAAAAAACTTATAGAACTGAGATTTTAGTGGATGAGGGTTTGAATGGAGGATTTATAAAATAAAAAGGTTTTATAAAATAAAAAGGTTTATAAAATAAAAAGATTTTATAAAAATAAAAAGGTTTTATAAAATAAAAGTATGCATTCAGTCAGTATGTCGACCTTTTAAGCATGTGTTAATCTTTATCTCTAATTTTTCTGTATATTGTAGGACATAAAAAGTCCAAAACCAAAGTTTTTAAATTTATAATTCAGGGATAATAAGGCTCATAAGTCGTGAATACAATAATTCCCTATTCATAAGAAATCCAATTTTACCTTGACTGTGAGGGGCATAGCAAAAAGGAACAGTATCTGTGCCAACTCATTTCCTTTATTAAAGATCTTTAATCAATTATGACTTTTAAAATTAATATTTTGAAACACTTTATTTGACAGAGGTTGAGATTTTTGTTACAATTTTTCAGAGATACATTAAAAATAGGTAAATTATTATCGTGCTTTAGGTGGAGGAGTAATTACATTTATGCGACATTACTGGTACAACTTTGTGACTTCGTAGCTCATCTAGTTTTGATTTGTACGCACAAGTATTATATTAGAAATTCAAAACATTTTTGTTCTTCGAAATAGCTCTTTAATAAAATGAGCTATGTTTAAAAAAACGTAAGCTTTCAAACTAACTACGATTTATTTTTGGTCGACGAGTTACTTTAAATCTGGTATGCCGATAGGTTTAAACTTGCCTGACATAAGATACGCGGTTTCTTTTGATTTGATTCCAAATTTTCTCTCAAGAGTTGCAAGACTGGAAGAAATGTAACTGTACTGCATGCTCTAAACATTAATTTGTTGATCGATAGATTCAAATTTACCGATTCAATCATAGATACTCTGTTTCCTTTTCTTATTTGCATGATAAAAGTAAAAGGAAAAAATCATGAGTTAGAAAGATGTTTTAAGAATATCATGAAAAAAATATTTCTTAAAAGTTTTTATTCATTTTTCACGAAAACCTCTTCTGAATTTGAACTTCATAATATTAAAGTTTTGCTAGATATCAAATGTTTATGATGAACAAAAAAGTGATTGTGTTGCGAAGTGAAGCGTAATTTCATGTGACCCTCCAAAATCTAAATTATCTAAATTTTACACTTCATAACCTCGAGCAACGAAAATAATTTTCAATACATGAATTTTACCAGAAAGGGATAAATTATTTGGCTTACCGTCCCGCTTTGCTTTACAATGTCACTCTTGAAATCACACTTACAGTGATTACAGTCCATTAATAATTAAAATAGTTTTTTAACCGTACCTTCACGATTCCCAGTGCACCATACAAGAATATATAAACCTTCTTGGAGGCCAGAGGTTGAAGAAACTTAGGTCTCCAAGCCCCTAGGCCACACTGGGTCTCACGGTCCTCCATATAGATTTATGATTTTAAAATCTGCAAACGACCATTGATTGATTATTATTTAAAAAAGTAAAGTTTTTTTTTTATATGTGACAGTCATCAATCTTACGCCCTTCAGTCATCAGTTTACTGTTGCAGTTGCCCATCAGTTTTCAGTTTATGTGGTTGTGCCTGCCCATCAGACTATATCTTTTAGCTGCTTACGTACATAAGTTTTTAGTTCTCTCAGTTGCTTGTGCACATTAGACTAAAATTATGAACTTACTTGGGCCCAACAATTTTCAGTTTCTGCAGTTGTTTGTGTCCATTAGTTTTTAATTAATGCGGTAGTTTCAAATGTGCATTAGCCAATTGGCCCATTAAAAAAATAGCTTGAGTCTAACAGTCGTCTTCCTTTTCCCGGTTTTATGGATCTCATTGTATTCCGAAGTTTAAAATAAAAGATGCACTTATTCAAAATAAGTATTTTGGATGTTTTGTTGTGATTTTAAATTTAGCAATCACTTCCATTTTGCCAAATAACTATCCCAAATTTGAAATTAATGGAAATTTTAAATTATTACAGAAATATATTCTTCAACTTATATTGACTTAAGTTATTAAACAATTTCCGTGGTTTATTATCAATATATGTATACGCCTAATAAATTGAAACATAATTATATTAAGTTTATTAAGTATAACCGTTCACTTGTTTACAGCGTTAAACTAAGATTGTGAATTCTAGATAAATTATCTGTGTAGGATCATTTCTTATCTTTTCTCATTTGTTTGTTTAGATATTATTCATGGAGTCTTTATAAATGTTGAGTTTATCATACTCTCGGAGCTACAGGGTGTCCCACGAAACATGATAGTTGGTGAATGGTTTAAAATGTCTTCTTCCATAATTTGTTAAGATGGTTGATACTAAAGAGAATAATACAAAAAATTGTATGGGAGTCATCTTAAAGTAAAATTAATTTCAACGAAAATATATTTGAGTAAAAGATTTTTTTTTAACAAAATAAACTACAAAAAGTCTTTAATATCTAATACAGTATATTGAAGTAGACATTCAAAACTATTTACCAACTGTCATGTTTCATGGGACACCCTGTAGTTTTAAATAAAATTTCGCCCATAGGGGACATTTTGTTAGGTGTGGTTATTTATAGTTAATCGGTGTAAAAGTGCTTTCCACTAAAATAAAAAATTTCTATATCTATTGTTTTACTCTCCATAGTTTCTATTTTGCGTTGAGACACAAAGGACTTTTATTGTATTAGTTACAGCTTAAATAAATAGGCGTATTTTATAATATTTCATTTTGCATAAATATAATATTATATTATTTTTTAATCAAGAGAAATCACATCTTAAATGGGATCTTTAAACTCTAAGATTGGTGCTTTTTTAAAATACATGGTTATTGGTTATTCAATAAGAATTAGATTTAGATGACGGTTGACAACCTCTATAAATGTAAAAAGAAGATTAAGGCTATGTGCATACGCCCGCTAGTGTAATAAAAAATTCTGTATATTCGTCTCTCTAAAATATCCAAATAGATAAATAGAAAAATGTAGAACGAATGTGGTTTTTTGTTTTTCCTTTTACTGAAGAAATGTCGCCGCTAATGAGAAATGATTTTTGTAATTTGCAATTTTTGCACCGGATATATTTAGAATTGTTTCAGTTTGAGTTCAGAGAGTTGAACGCTTTCGAAATGTGGATACTGAAATCTTTGCTTAATCTCGTCGTTTTATTAATCTCGAAATTAATTTAATCTTAAGTCTGCATCCTGAAAAGTGTATAAACTTAAATTAGTAGAGCAAAACCCGACGAGCCAATCAGGAGCTGGTAAATTTGAAATTTTACGCACAATTTAATGAGAGAACTGTCATTCGTCAAAATCTGGCTGGGATACCCAAAAAAAGAGAGAAAGAACGAATGAAGCAGGAATTAAAAGTGTCTACATTGGATATTCATTATTCAGATTAAGAGATCGGGATTAAAGGTAGGCAGTTGCTGATGTATTTCTCTATAAGGAAGTTCAGCGAAAACAGTAACCAAAATATTGCATCTCTAAGTCTATGATTCCTTGACATAGCTGCAGATACCAGCATCGCCAAAGTTTCGCTGCATTGACCTGGAGAGAAACTTTTTGTTAAAAGTGACCTTTTTAAAAATAGTTCAGTCGCAGATTACAAAATCCTTGGCAACATTTTATGAAGAAAAGAAAGGACATCGAAAGTTCCAATATGCTGTCAGATTCTTACTTAAGATACATACACATACTGCTAAGGAGTAGGGATTGCTGTCAACTTGAGAAGACATCAATTTTTAACAATTTAAAGCTTGGCGGGAACAGGCAATGACGAGGACAAGACAGGCTAATAATGTATACATGGCTTAGAGCATTATATCCGTAGCATCATATGCATCAACATTTAAATATAAACATTTTTAATCGAAAATAATGTATACATGGCTTAGAGCATTATATCCGTAACATCATATGCATCAACATTTTAATATAAACATTTTTAATCGAAAAAGGTCACATAATATAGTAAAACTGCTGAAAGATCAAATGGTAACTAATTTTTCACATATTAATTTATTTACTTTAAAATGGTCAAATTTGAATATACATCAAACCACATTTCTCTTGTTTATCAAAACTATGAACTAATTTATGATTGATTTCAGAAATTAAAGTTTATTCAGGATTTATTTCCACCCACCAACACCAGAATTCCTCGTAAGTATTTCTGATTTTAAAATTGTGGGACGAATTATTTATCTATAATAAATCAAAGATTACATACTTAAAGTCTGGCCATAAACCTTCCCTGGGCCACGTGAGGTCCCACACAAAATTTGGGCCTGATCGGTTCAGCCGTTTTGACGATAATTGGATACAAACAAACAGACACCCAAACAAATAGAGACCCAGACAAGCTAAATTTATATATAGATAAAGAAGTTAACCCTATCCCTGCTGGGGTACTTGAAAACCAGGATATGCTGGGGGGGGGGGGCAATTTTAAGAAAAACTAAAAATAAGCAAATTTCCTTTGACAGGTTGTTTGCAAAAAATTTGCAATTTTTTTCGCAAAACTTGTGCAATCCGTTTTCTTATGCCATAGGCTTTCCAAAAAGCTAAATTTTATCAAAATCTGACAAGTGAAAGTGGGTCAAAACAAAGATTTAGTTTGTTACAGGCAAAAGCAGTCATTCAGGCAATGTGCCTGAGGACTCAGGCAGTTAGTATTAAAGCCCAGTTTTAGGCCTAAAGGGAGGGCTTTGGGAATGTAAGAAAAGTCAGAAAATTTCAACAGCCTCAGACCAATTCTTTTTGAGTTATGTAAAAAAAACTACAGGGGGGCAATATTTGCATACATTCAAATTATGATGGTTAACATTCGTTATAAGGAAGGAAAAGTTCAGTTCTAAGTTAGGTCATTTGATCGTGAACTACTGAACTTCATTCTAGCAACATGGAACTTAAACTATTTTTTCGGACTTTTACGAGGAAGTCTGGTTTTGGCGGATGGAAATATAGTGCAGTGTATGGATGGAGGATTTGTTTGGTAAGATAAGGGTTGTAGATTGCAGCAATAATTGGTTATAACTGGGATGGATAATGGAAAGATCATATCTAAAATTGGATTATGCTAAATCAGGATTGGTTTAATCTGAATTATGCAATGATTTGTTTTGGTCAAATTGAGGTTATTTACAGCTTAAAATTTTTATTTTCAATATTTCTTTAGATTGACAATAACTAAACTCTTCAGAATCCTTTGCATTCAAATCTATCACACTGTTGCACTCTTACTGCCTACATAAATAACAAAATAAAAAATTCTTTGTTTTGACAATAATATTGAGTAAAAGCGAAATAATTGTCATCTTGGATCCGTTTTTTTTAATTCGAAAATTTGCTGAAGATTTTTAATATTTATATGTTATTAGGCACAAATGAAAGAATTAAAGTTATAAAATGCACACTCCTGAAATATAAAGCAATTTTTATAATTTCTAAGAACTTGTATCAATTTTCAATTTGTAAGGAAAGAGCTGGAAACTTTTGGTTTTATGGATAAAGTTAAACCCGTCTCTAAACAGTGCAGATGGCGAAACTTTTGTAACTTAAGCCTGTTACTTCGGTCGGTGGTTCAACCTTATACGTTTGCATAAGTGAGGGGGAAGGAAGTAGGCCATGAGCCAAAACCGCTCAGTCTTCAATATGCCACAAAATTTGATTCTTCCGGCAATTATTACGTTTTAAATGGAAAAGAAGACCGAAGGGTTGGCTCATGGCTCGCGGAAGACAAAAAGTTAATATGTGGCATAAAAGACCAAACCGTTGTAGCTCATGGCTGACTGCTTTTCCCCGCTCTCAGAGTTCAATGAATAAAGGCTTAGAATTTTAGCTCCATTTAAACCAACAGTTTTCAGCTCAGATAATTCAATATAATTTACTTGAAACACTTCTTTTGCTTGCAAATAATCTGCAAACACATCCGGTGTTGAAGCAGCGGCGAAGGCTGCAAACTTTTGAATACTAAATAGAGAAAACTTTAAGTAGAAGAAAATTATGTTTTAATAATTGCCAAGCTTAATTTTTTTTAATATAATACTAACTTAATCAGATTAGAAACAATTCTAAAAATAAAGGATCTGATTAGTAATTACACACCTAAAATACAAACATTTTCTACTTTCCCTTTAATTTTAACTCAAAGACGTGTACACTTTTTTATTTTAAACCTATAGACTCTTCAATTTAAGCCAATTCATAGTTTAAAATATCAAATGTTTTAACATCAGGGTGAACATTATTATAGTTTGTAGCGTATTATATATAATCAGTGGGTAGTTAACCAAACATTATAGTTTGTAGCGTATTATATATAATCAGTGGGTAGTTAACCAAACATTTGCCTCAAATCTGACCTGTTAGCCTCAGCTGTACTTCCCAGGTTTGCCAGTTCACAGAGAAATCTTTTTTGACAACCGGTATTCTTGAGTCCAGTATATCCTATCCTCCCTAAATAATAAGTGTTAAAATGGTGCATTTCATCGAAAATTATAATTATTATTAATTATAATTCTAGATATCATGTTTCTCTTTTATGTTTCTAGCTAGAATGTTTATCTTTTATGATTATAGCTATCATGTTTATAGCTATCATGTTTATATTTTATGATTATAGCTATAATGTTTTTTTTACTATTCTAGCTATTTTGTTTTTTTTTATGTTTCTGATATCATGTTTTGCTTTGATGTTTCTAGCTTCCATGTTAATCTTTCATGATTCTAGCTATCTTGGTTCTGTTTTATGATTCTAGCTATCATGTTTCTCTTTAATGTTTCAAGCTATCATGTTTCTCTTTAATGTTTCAAGCTATCATGTTTCTCTTTAATGTTTCAAGCTATCATATTTCTCTTTTATGATTCTAGCTATCATGAGTTTAGCTATCTTGTTTTTTTATGATTCTAGCTATCATGTTTATCTATTAGGATTATAGCTATCATGTTTCTCTTTTTGATTCTAGTTATCATGATTCTAGCTATCATGCTTCTCTTTTATGATTCTAGCTATAGTGTTTCTCTTTTTTGATGTAGTTATCATGATTCTAGCTATCTTTTTTTATGATTTTAGCTATCATGTTTCTCTTTTATGATTCTAGCTATCATGCTTCTCTTTTATGATTCTAGCTATCAGGTTTCTCTTTTATGATTCTAGCTATCAGGTTTCTCTTTTATGATTCTAGCTATCATATTACTAGCGTTTATGTTTATAGCTCTTTAATCAGACGCACTTTTTCTCAAAGACCACAAATTTGGATAGTGATTAGTGGATCAGTAAGGCGACAGGGAAATAATATAAACATATATAATAATATGTAAAATATCTTTATTTATATGTTACCTATTTTAGTCATCAGGGGATATGAATATTCCTCTTCTATCTCATTTAAATCAGTTTCCCTCTTTTTACGTCTTAAGTAAAAAAATATGGTGAAAAACGAAAAACAAGAGAAAGAATTGAAGAATTATGATTTAAACAAATCACAAAGGAAATGACTGGCAATGGACAAAGTACGTTTTACCCTTAAGAAAAATCTTAGGACTAGGATCCGTAAGGAGAGAAACTCACTTTTTCTAATCACTATATCTTTTTAACCTGATGGCTTACACCATTGATATGTCAAACTTTGATTATTTGATCTCATAGAATTCATAGTTTGAAATATCTAAGGTCTCAGACATTAGGTTGCAAAGATATAGGTTTTAGAACATCAATTCCTTTATTAAAGTTTTGCACTCAAATTCGTAGATTTTATAACTTTTTACTAAAAAAGTAAACCCTTAATTTTTATTCTATATTACTTAGTTTTCAACTAAACACAGCCTAACTGGCCACTCCCCTGAAAGGTTACTTAACTAAACATGCACTTTTATTCGATTTCGAGTCTTTTGTGGAGAATATCATTATCTAAGTACGTACATATCTAATTTACTTTTGATTCACAATTCATTCATTATAGTCAATAGTGGAAAATAACGTACTAACTAAAACATCTACGACAGTAACGTAATATACGATAAAATAAATTATCTAGAAGTGCAGCTAAAATCCAGTATCGGCCTATCTAAAACATACATTTTTTCAATTATGTGGTTTGTAACACTACTATTATAGTCTACCATATAGTTTACCCGTGAATTGTAACAGATGATGGAATAAGAGCCGATATAAGCAGTCCTGGTTAATATATATTATCTAATTATTGTTTTCATAATATTATTACCATTATTAAGGTTATTATTATCGCTATCTTTAAAACTGTTGCTATTAACTCAATCATTTTTATCATCATCATATCTTATTGAAACACATTACACACATTAAACAAAATTAAATAAAAAAGTGGTTTCTTCTTTCAATATTACAGCACCAGATTATCCATAAAGGAGGAAATAAAGGATCTGTAAAGAAACCGTAATTTCAAGTACACCACAAACTCTACAGAACGCACAATACTTAAGCGGGTTTCGATAAGTTTGCACACGCATATATCTCTGTACTAGACGAACACACAAAGGATACTGTTGTAAATCGGGAATTTACATAAAAGGTCACTGTAAATTACGCTTTCAGTCTCTTTGACTCTATTTCCGGAACATATCTGAATTAAAGTACTAAGATGAAAAAAATATTATAAAATTTCAAAATACTTAAGCCATTTATATTTTATCCTAGGAGAAGTACCTAGGGTAAAAATAAATGGCTTAAGTTTTTTTTGTTGACTATTTTTGAAACACATATTAATATAATTGAGAAGCTGTAACATTTTTGTTTTTACACTAGGAGATTACACCTGTTCCGCGGCCCTTCCCCACTCCTACTACGATGATTTATCTATAATTATAATTCCTGAAATAATAAATATAAATAACGAAACAGCATTAAAAAATATTTCTTTAATAATAAAAATGCATTACCGGCACACTCAATTAAAACCTCCCTTCATACTTTTTCAAATTGTTATTTGGTTTAGAATAATCCTATCCTACCATTCCACCCAGAGAATAGAATTGTAAATATATCTTTAATATACAAATACGATAATTATTAATTAGTATTATCACATTATACACAACGTTGCACTCGGATTTGGAATTATAAAGATCAATTATCTGGTGAAATGCTATCTTCTATACATATATGCTTTGCTTGTCTGTCTGTTTGTTTGTATCGAAAAGACGTCAAAAAGGCTTAACCGATCGGGCTCAAATTTTTTGTGGGACCTCACGTAACCCAAGGGAAGGTTTTATAGATAATCAAAATTTCAACAATTCATTTCCAACAAAAAATTCGATTTTCATTGAAATTTGTAAATCCACGAAATTTTTCTTATAAAATCCGCCAAAATGTAAACAATTCAAATAAAAGATGGGAACCAAGCACCCTGAAAGCCTAATATTTATATATTTAATGACCTTCCCTAAATCTTGTATACTGGTACTGGTACTGAAAGGCCGGAAATTAACTAAGGTATTTCCACAACTCTAATTTTTCAGTCTCTATTATCATATATCTTGGCAACCCTGATGTCATTTGATATGTCAAACTATAAATTCTGTTAGATCAAAAATTATTTTTGACAAAAAATCAGTTCCTTTCCGTCCTTATACGTGCCAGTACCAGTAGATAAGATTTAGTGAAGGCCATTAAATGTTTAAATACTAGGCTTTCATAATAAAAAGAATGCGACATCTTCCATATTCTTACTAAGAAAGGGGCACCTTTAGATATAGAACATGCGAATATCTATAATCGATTTTACAAAATCATTAACAATTTTTCATGACAAAATAAAGTGAGTCATTCCACTGTTTATATATTTTTATTTTTGTGACCCCTTTTTATTTCTGAAATTTGTATCTAAAAAAAGCTCTATTAATATTATTTAAATGAATGAATATAAAGTGGGATTATTTTTTTAATTCAAGAAATCTGAAGTTTTGTGAAAAAACTTTTACGAAACTTTGTCTTTAAACGTATAAATCACTCAGAACAACATAAACACATCTCAAATATTTTTCTTATTCAAATCTTTTTATCTATTTGGCTTGCCTGTTTATCTTATAACTGTAAAAAAACTGTCTTAACCAGTCTGACCAAAATATTGGTGATATCTCAATGACCCCGAGAAAATTTACAACCGATCGAAAATGTAAAATTTTCCTTTACAAACTTTTTTTATTTAATATTTGTTTGGAATTGGAAATCTATCAAATTGTCAACAAGAAATATTTTCTTAATGACGTATAAAGCCAAATTTAAAATCAAAAATGTTAACTAAAAAATTGGCTCAAAGCACCCTATAAAAGTCAAATAAAACATTTTGTTTTATTTTATTCTGTTTCCGTTAATTTGATGCATACCGATTGGTAGAAGGGTTTTCAAAACCCCTGTAAACACCGTTATTCCTGGCTCCTCCTCCACCCTAAGATTAGATAGATAAATATATACTTACGCAGAGTTGATCACGATCAGGTTTGGTGGTATAGCAGCCAGGAAGAGACCGATTGGAAGGAAGGCCGCCAGGGCGTTTAGAAAATTGTTGAATTTATCCTTTCCCTTTCTAGGAAACAAGTACGTGTTAAATGTGCAACTAGAAAAATAATCTAAACAAACAGAGGTAAAAACTGAGGAATGAATGTCGCCTTCGTTCTTATTTAGTTAGAAAAAGTTACAAATTTAAAAACGCTGTTAAGGTTACATAGTTTAAAGAAAGATTGCAGACAACACTCATTACACCGTTTTTAGGTTACCACTGTATGTATGGGTGGGTGTTACTTCTTAGGGTTTAAACTAATGGGAACTGAATTTTAAATGGAACACTGATTTGGCCTTAGGCCTTGCAAGGGTGTTTTGCATTTAACTAAAAATAAAAAGTAACATTAAAACACAAAACTACTTCAAAAGCTAGACACTTATTCGGATTTTAGCTTATTAATCTTAATTTGATTCCACTTAAATATTTGGTCAAGTCTATGAATTTGTAATAAAAAGGGATGCTGTTAAAGAATTACTCATATAAGAATTATATATTAGAAAACACATGCACATGCTTTTCTGTATTCAGATACAGTTTTGAACTTAAACTTTCACCTCATCCGTAAACCAAGTATAAAGTGCAGAGGGTGCATAAATGTAATGCGAAATAATGTAAATTTATATTTATGCAAAATTTGGCAAAATCTTCACAAATTACTCCAGGATAAAATTACTCTGTGCTTATATATCATTGTACGGAAGGAAGAAAAAAAACTTTAAATCCGTTTTGGGTCAGTCTTTATTGACTGACGCAAAACGGCCCATTTTTCCGTTCATGGACGGGATTAGACCTTTACTTGTTTTTCCAAAAGTGAAATTTAATTACATGCCTTAAAAACATAAGTGGTTGAACTGTGCAATTTAGTTTAAACGAAATGCGATTTTACTACACACTTTAATTTTCTAATCCATATATCTTTGCAACCCGATGTCGTAGATCCTTGATTTTTTTAGCAGGTTGCGAAGGATATATGAATTTGAAAATTTGAGTTTGTGGCAAAACTTAATTTCTATCTATCTTTTATAAGAACTGTAAGCGTAATTTTAAGTGACTCTCTATAGGCAGAGATGGCAATGAACAACGGTACCCTTAAAAGCTTTGTCTGGTTTCGAAACATTTTCAATTGTTTTTCATTTCAATTCAATTCAATTATTTTCAATTTCTACTTGAGGATAACAAATAGGAAATATCATGAGTTCCTTAAAACATTTAGACGATTGAACAAACTGATCTTGAACATATAAAGTTGAGAATTATTTACCCGACATCTTTGCCATATACTCTGTTAAAATGTGTCTGGGGTACACATTTAAACCTAGAAAAACAACAATATCTTCCACATTATTGATCGGATAGATTTCAAGGGTATCGTTGTGAATCGAGCATTGCCATCTTTTCATAAGATAAAATAACGCTTACAGTATCTTTAATCTACTGAAGTTTTATTTTCTATTCTTTATTTACCAAGGTAAAGGATAAAATTAAATCTTTTTTAACGGAAAAATAAAACAAGATTTGTGACAAAGATTATTGAAATTTCGCTATTAAAAGCTATAACGAGTATGCCTTTGCTGCTTTAATAGTCTAAAATTATTATAGTATGTACTTCCGTTTGAATTTTCTACTTTTTATCAATTTTTATTCTATTTAATATTTCAAGTAAACTGTGGGATTTTTCTGAAACGTTTTCCTGATTTTCTTCTATTCAGTCTCTTCCTACCTTGCTAAAACTTCTTTAAACACACAAAGCAGAAATATTTTTGATTATTAAGTTGACTCTATTTGATAACTTAGATTTCTTAAAATAATTTCATTTAATTGAGAAAGTTCACAACACTGCTGAAAAAATGCATAAAACCCAGAAAAAAAGGTTAGTTTTTAAAGGAACTGAACATTTTCCACAAATTCAAATTTTCTAATCTCTTCATCACCGCAACATGATGATACATACACAGTGATGCCCATAAAAAAGAACTACGACACCAGGTTGTAAAGATATGAGGCTTAAATGTCAAGAATGAGGAGAGCAATTAATTCCTTTGAAATTACTCTTACGTATTATGCCCGCCATATGAGCTGTAGTAATCATCATCATCATAGAAGGTGTCAGTTCGACCTTCAGTAGTAGCTGTATTCTCATAGCCCAGAAACCTTGAGGAGCCTTTTTTCCAATTAGAATGTTTTATAGAAAATTTAATAAATCGCGTTTTTCGTATGCTCTAAAACAACCCTTTAGCTTAGGTTAACCACGTGAATTTGGTGAGAAAATACGTCCTTGAGGATTCTTTGACATAGGGTCAAGCGACCCAGGGTCAAACGACACAGGGTTCAACGAAACAGGGTCCAACGACAGAGGTTCAAACGACGCAGGGTCAAACGACAAATGGTTAAGACGGAAAGAAATATTTTATGTATTATTTCAGGGTAAAGTTTGGTTAAGACAATTTCTGGGCCGAGCGCTGCGGCTACTAGTTCTATGAACATGGAAATAGTTATAGTTAACCAAAAACGTCTGATAGAAATTTTGCCCGTTAGTCGCACTTTTTGACCTTATGTCGTTTTACCCTTTGTTGTTTTACCCTTGTCGCGCTATTGACCGTTTGTCGTTTGACCCTATGCCGGTGAATCTCCTTGATGAATCGTATAACTTAAGTATGTATGGAAATAATATAAATGATAGACATTTTGAGACTTCTGAGACATTTCGAGGCCGATCTGAAACTATTTAAATTAATGGAAACTGGTCAGAATTAGGAAAGCCAGTGCCCATGGTGTGCATGGCAGACCAAAAAAAAAATAAAAAAGGTTGGAAAAATGTTCCTCAAAAGCCTAGAGAAAAATGTACTGCTGCTACCAGATCCAGCATTATCTTGTTGCAATGCCAAACTCCGCCGAGACTCTGGTCTTCATTTCGATATTATATTTTAATCATGTTCCCATTAACATGCAGGTTAGATAATAGAATGTATTGTGTGAATGCAGCAATAAGGTTAAAATGCATGCACAAATGCAATTTCATAAACCACATGGTTAGTGAATATCGCTAAGAAATTTTACGATTGTACTTTTTGCATTAAAGGGACTGTAAGTGTAATTTTAAGTGACAATCCATTCAAAGATGCCAATGCCCGATTCACAACTTTACCATTGAAACTTTTTCAGAGAAACCTCAAATTAAAATAAACAGTTTAAGGAAACAAAAACATAGATATATAATTTATACTTTATCAGAAAAAGGTTTTAAGGGTACCTTTGTAAATCTGGCATTGCCATATTTTAGAAATTACGCCTACTGTCCCTTTAAACAAGTAATTTGAGAAAAGATGTCCAAAAAGTTTAACAACAAAAACTCTAAACCTTTAAAAATTGTCCGATAACTCATTAAGATAATAATTACATATTCAATACAAAGGAATTGAGTCTTTGCAACAAATCCCAATTTTCTAATACCTATATATCTACAATCAAATTATTTAAACCTTAGATATTTCAAACTTTGATTTTTTCATATAAGAGAAGTCAAAGTTTGAAATATCTGAGGTCTACAATATTGGGTTGTTAAGATATAGGGATTTAAAAACCAGAGTTTGTGGCAAAGACTTGATCCCTTTTCAGATTTAAAAGAAGAAAGTGGTTTTCAAAATAGTTAAAAAATGCTTATTTTTTATCTGATAAACTTTGTTTAAAAAGAGTCATGCAGATTGCAGATGCAGTATTTAGTATGATGTTACTTAAAAATTTAGCATTCTATTTCACTTCGGAAATTCTTACCCCTTGTAGGATGGTTTAGAATAAGATGAATAACTGGATGATAGTGGTTCATAATCAGATAATGGAGCTTTGTAACTGGTGGATGGAGTTTCGTATCCAGATGATGGAGCTTGGTAAGATGCAGATAGGTCTGATGATGATACTTCCATGCTGGGAGAAGGGGCAAATTCTAAAATTTATTGGGATTGTTTATCCAAATGAAATCAAAAACTGAAACTATAAACAATGGAAAACAAAAACAAATTGATATAACGATTGCAAATTTTACTTTGTGGTAAGTAATCAGTTGGCTGTATTAATAAGATATTTCACAAATATAAAGAGAAAAATACGTTAAACAACTTTGTTTTGGAGCTTCACAATTAAATCTATGATAACGAAATGATGAGAACTATACCTTTATCTTCAACTCTCTCATAATAGGTTTGATCCTCAATCTAATGAAATATGAGTTTATATATTCATGAAAAATTAAAAAATAAATGAAATTTAAAGATAAAACCAGTGTTTTAAGCTGTATCAAACTTGACCAACTTTTAGAATTTAAGTTTTAATTGCGCTTAGTTTTTGAGTAAACAACAACCATCATTTCCTAAAAACTAGCAAAACAGTTGTTCTCGCCCTTAAAATCGACCATTTTTAGCATGAATAACAATTCAAATACACAAATGTCGTCTTCCTATTCTACAGATGGAAGTCAAACCTTATAAAAATTGAACGTATAGAAACAGCTACGTATAAAAATATAAAAAAAATTTCTCCCGGAAAATACGCCCTTTTGCTATTGGCTTGTCTGGGTGTTTGTTTGTTTGTCTGTCTGTTTGTTTGTATCCAATAAACGTCAAAACGGCTGAACCGATCGGGCCCAATTTTTTTGTGGGACATCTAGGGGCCCCAGGGAAGGTTTATGAATGATTAAAATTTTAAATATTTGTCTCCATCAAAATTTAATCGTCCTTAATTTTTTTAAAATTTTGAAAATCAGCGAATTATTTTCGTTTTCGTTTTACGATGTACAGAAAGAGAACATGTTCACAATTAATTTAGAAGATGGGCGCGAAGCGCCCTGTAAGGCTAGTACGTTAGATTTCTATAAGGTTTGTCTTCCTTCAGGACCTACTGATGTATGTGTCCCATATAGATTTGCTGATGTAAATAATTAACCTGAGTGTTGAGATTAGAAGAGTAATCGGAGTATTCAGGTCGTCTTCTTCTCAAACTATACATAATATATAGTTTATCATTTTTTAGTTTAACTACTTCTGTTTATTAATTAAATCTGGTCCCATATTTTAAAACATATTAAATATTTTATTCCGTATGACGTTCACTCATTAGTTTTGATGAAACAACTTTAGGAAAAAGATAGATACCTAAAAGAAATTCAAAGAGGAAAACAGCCTTTCTAATTTTCAAAGACCGTCAGCCGTGAGTTTTTTTCTGAACTATACGCAGAGAGAGAGGGAGCACGGCTTTTAGGTATAAAAGTCACGCTTTTTGCAAAAAATCGTTTCAGTAATATGAACGATCGACTTCGGACTTTGACAAAGAAAAATGAGTTCAACTTCTTACTAGTTACTGACTTTGACGTAGATAAGAAAATTAGGAATCTGAATAGCAGTATTTTGCTTGTAAACAAACAACAGATAAAACAAAACAAAAGATTCTTCACAAACTGCCAAACAAAAAGCATATTATTTAAGTTATTCCTTGACGTTTCCTTGATCGACCCTTGGATCTCAAATGTTAAAATGCTAACATAAAATATCGCTTCTGTATAGAACTTATATTTAAATTACAAATAGTTCTTCTACTTGTGTTCTTCTAATTTCGTATCAAGTTGTATGTACTTACTTTGTTTTGCGTCTTCTTCTAGTCTGAAGGTCGTCTTCACTATATTCAGCTAAAGAAATGAGAAACTGATAAGAATATGATTAAGAAATGTATCAAAAATATGATTTTTAAATGTAAGTTGACAAAAACTCTTTTCAAAATCTCGAAAACTAGAAGATCGAAGGACCGTAATCAGTTAGATCTTTAGATACTTATTTTAGCATGTTTTCATGACATTTTTTCCTAGTGGGGTTTTAAATTGTACTTTACTTTAACGTGTAAAACTCGTCCTTATTAAGGTTTATTTTGCAGAAAGTTTTTTTTCTTCTCTCAAAGTTGTAAAGATGTTTATGCTAGGCTTCATACAACTCCGGTTAAACGAATTTCGATTTCAAAATCCCATTCCCTAGGCCCTATTGTCGATGCATGCATGAACTTGAAGCACAATCCATGTACAATTAAATTTCCTATACCTGACTCCAGCATGTAGGGTCTGGTGTCAAATGCATCTTGCGTTTGATCCTAAAGTTAAAAATATTTTAAAGGGAGTGTTCGCGAAAAATTAAAGGGGTAAAGGCTTACGGCGAAAAATTATCGATGGTGATCACTACTAATCTTACTTCTATCTGTTGCATCTATAATGAGAAAATTGTTAAAAACGACTCTTACCGAAAGTTGCAACATACGACTTGGATCGTAAAAAAATCAATTTAATTCCAAATAAATCATTTACATATTACAACCTATAATAATCGATTATTTTTCGACGCATTTGTATAAAGTTGATATTTAATAATATTTTTTATTTGTTTTAAATACAATGCAATTAAAACAACGATTATTTCCGCTAGGTGTCTCTGCCACATGGAATCATTCACAGTATTGAGAGCAGAGACACCTGGCGGCCAACTTGTCTATCAGAGTTTTCTGTAAAATCTTACCTCTTTCTTCTCGGTTTGTTGGCTAGTAAGAAAACTAAGATTTGACCAACTTAACTCCTGAATGGTTTAACAAAAAAATGGTTAGCTTCATAATTTTATTTTTTTTTGTTATACCTCGTTTGTTTCTTCGTCTGCTTTTGATAAACACCATACAGAGAAAATTGTTAAAATTCTAAAAAGATTTTTTAGTTTTAACATTCTAATTTCTGAAATTAACATTGTTGATACTTTAAAGATTCTGTGAAGAATAAGTTGTCTACTTTCCGACCATAAATATTCAAATAAGAATATGATATTTTGATATAATCTACGTGTTATTTATAAAAATGTAAATATCAGGTTTTTAGGATTTATCAAATTGTACAAACATCTGATCATTTATGTTTTTACTTAACCAAATATTGGTTGATTCACATTGAGAACTAAATCTAACATGTACATTCAAGAAAAATAAATGCAGAAGAAAAACTATGGCTTGGTTTGTAGGTTATATAGCTTCACGCGCATAGAGAAATATGCTGAACAGATTGTAAATTTCTTATTTATTTCTTATTCTGAACTGCGTAGATTCAGGCTAGATCTCAACCGCTCCCGCTGAGCTTTTTTCTCCAAAGTATATACCATTTTTTTAGAAAGCACATTTCAGCTTCTCTCATGGTCAGCACTATCAAAACGTTTGTAAGTTATCTTGAAGTCATGATAAACAAATTCTCCATTTCGATCAGCATATATGGGGTTTTGAATGAGAGGCTAAGATAAAAATTTTAGCCTAAAAAGGCTATAATTTTCGCAAGTCTGCAACGATTTTGTAGAAATTATTAGAAAACCAGCAGAAGCATTTGATAAACATATTACCAAATCTGTTTATTATGACTGTAAAAAAAATGCATTGATGTTTTGAATGCTCTATCTCTAAATCTGACTATGGGAGAAACTGAAATGTGCTTTTGCATATATGTCTCTATTTTTCATTTGTTAACGATCTTAAAATTAACTGGTTTTGCCGTTTGTAAACGAAATCTTATATTGATTTTAAAAACATGCTGTTCGTTAACAAACGTTGCCCGGTCCTTCATATGTTCCACATTTTTAGAATTTTTGTTAATATTCTTAAATTTAATGGGTTTAATGTTCAGCATCGTTTACTTTGTTAGAGTCCGTTTGAAATATAAAAAAATGTTTGGAACATTTTCTCAAAAACAAGTATCGAAATTTTTTTTTGTGTTAAATGTTAAATGGATTACCATTATATTCTTAGGAGACATTTGTTGAGCCGAATTGAAACGTGAAATTGTTGTACTTCTTTATGGCTTCGGGAAACAAAAAATCGGAAACATTTCCTTTGTTAGCTAGAATGGAATAAACAATCAGGCTTTTAGGACACTTCGCGCCCACATTCAATTTCCATTATGTTCTCTTTGTAAACATTGTAAAACAAAAATTTCGCGGATTTTGTAAAAAATAGAACTTTGATGTAGCCAAATTTTTGAAAATTCTATCGTCCATAAACCTTCCCTGGGGCCACGCGAGGTCCCACAAAAAATTGAGTCCGATCGGTTCAACCATTTTGACGTTTGTCGGATATAAACGGACAGACAGACAAACAAACACCCAGACAAGCACAGTATATATATTTATAGATTACAGTGACCACAAGAATTGTTCAAAAATACAGCCAGGACTCAGGAGCATTTACATACACCAGTGGCGTACTTAAAACCCTGAGGGTAATCCCCCCTTCTTCTAGAAACTTGATTTCCATTCTCCATGTCAATTATTACCAAAAAAGGAAAAATTTAAATCTGTTTACGGCCATTATTTCCCTTTATCAGTAAATTGATATAACCATTGCCTATTCTAAAAGTTGTACCCTGTATGAGAAATCGCGTAAAACTGACTGTTGATTTTTCCCTGGGTATATGTAAACTGTATTCTAGACTAGGAGTATGTAAATTTGAACTCACAGTCACCAAGTAGAGTCTTGTGTTGTTCCTTATAAAATACTCATTTTACACTTTAATTACAAGGTTAAATGATCATTCTTGCAGTTATATGAAATCAATATTAAATGCTTGTAATATCTCTATTTATGGATTAACAAATATAAATACTCCTAGAGTACTGATAGTCTGAAACTGTAACGGTTTAAGTAGGAAGAGTGTAGCTCGACCACTCACTAATTAGAATTCACTTTCTTTGCTAAAAAAGTCAAAGATTTTAAAACCCAGGGATAAATATTAAATTGTCTTTACGCATCAACTTTACATGAGACACAATTCTTTGGACAACTTGCACGCATTACTTTTTCCCTTTATCTTAAATCATTTTCGTATGTTAGCTCTCTTCTTTTCTAAAATCATTGTCTGTTTAAATCTTCACTCTCTCTTTTGCTTCACACCTTTAATCTGTATTCTTGGAATAAATAACGCATTCTCATTCCATTATCTCGTTTAGTTCATTTATCTTCATATATCTGTATATACAGAGGGTTTTTAATGTAAATTTTAAAACGCCAATAACTCCATCATTTTTAAAGATATCTAAGTTCTCTTAAGTTGCATTTATTGAAACATAAATGCAACATAATAAAAAATTTAAAATTTTTTCAAATTTTTACCCTCTTCAGAAAAAATCCATAAAAATATATCAAATAAAAAGCGTCGTGATTTAGAAAAAACAAACAAATGCATAAATATTTAACAAATTGATAATTTGCAAAAAAAAAATAATATTTCTTTGTCCATTTTATCAGTGGTCAGTACTGAACAAACTTTGGCATACAATTATTGACAGGGACCTCCTTCTAGCTCTTGAATTTGATGGTTAAGCATGGATGTTAAAATTCAACCCACATGATTTTCTGATTTACAGTTTTTTTATTCAGAATTAAGTTTACTTCTGAGTATGTAAAACTAAATGTTAAATAAACCTAGCACAACATTTAACATGTTATGTTTTGATAAGGAAGATGATGTGATCACTTGATAATTAAAGGGACCGGTAAGAAAAATGAAAGGGGGAATAGGTCTCTATCAACTCTATCAACTCCTAAAATGATTATGTATAAAGTCAATAAAGTTTTTTGCGCGGGGGGGGGAGGCAGAGAAAATGGTTAAAACCAAGAAACAATGAATAGAAATCATGTGAAAATGCTATTTAATCAAGTTATAAACATAAATATTTATATGTATATATTATAAATATATAAAGAGCTTGGAACTCTTGTTTTATGGATATTGAGATCAATGCATGATCTCGATCCTTTGTTGATCTGGAGATTAGTTTAGCTTTATTTAATATCCCGCAGTGTAATTGTATCCTGAAGGGATAATTGAAATGAAGAGATTAGACATTGATCAGTAAATATAAAAGTGCCCACTGTGGTTATCAAGATCCGTAAATATAAAAGTGCCCACTGTGGTTATCAAGATCCGTAAATATAAAAGTGCCCACTGTGGTTATCAAGATCCGTAAATATAAAAGTGCCTACTGTGGTTATCAAGATCCGTAAATATAAAAGTGCCCACTGTGGTTATCAAGATCCGTAAATATAACAGTGCCCACTGTGGTTATCAAGATCCGTAAATATAAAAGTGCCCACTGTGGTTATCAAGATCCGTAAATATAAAAGTGCCCGCTGTGGATATCAAGATCCGTAAATATAAAAGTGCCCACATGTGGTTATCAAGATCCGTAAATATAAAAGCGCCCACTGTGGTTATCAAGATCCGTAAATATAAAGTGCCCACTGTGGTTATCAATTGATCTGTAAATAAAGTGCCCACTGTGGTTATCAAGATTCGTAAATATAAAAGTGCCCACTGTGGTTATCAATATCCATAAATATAAAAGTGCCTACTGTGGTTATCAAGATCAAACATGAGGAATTATTAGTAACACATAAGTTACGAGCTTAAGTGTCAAAAAAATCTTTTCAATTTTCGTTATATTTTTACAATCAGGGTGTCATGTAGAAAGCTCTATATTTCAGTTATTTCATGGATTTGATTTTTTTTCTTCGAAACCTAAAACTTTTTTGTTACAATCACTTCTTTGAGTGTAAGTCAAAAATAAATTTCCCGGATTTTTCACATCTCATTCTTACTCATTTTCAAACGTAATTTTTTAATCATAAGCTATTAGACTAATATTTCTTCTTAAACTAAAACTTTGGATTTGCAATAATCACGTTTGTAGCTAAATCAATCTGAAAATAAAACTAGCAGTAAAGAAAAAACAGAACGATAGTTACCTCGTTGCGTACCTAGCCCAGACAAAAAAATTTTTTTTTCTATATATTTTAAATCAGCTTTTCAAAAATAAAATATTTCATCCACCTGGGCAAAAAATAAAACAATTAACTAATCGAACTTTTATTCATTAGTTTTTATTTATTCATTTTTATTATATGTTTGTGAGTTAGTTTTTAGGAAACCATCTTAAGAGACTGCTTACGCATAAAAAGCACACATTCTGAAATTTTAACTTTTGTCGTAGTGCACACAAGCCGTCGAAGGTATCGATTTATAGGTATAAACACATTCGTGTTTCAGTAATAATATTGGATTTTGAAAAAGATTATTTGATCTCTAAGCAACCATTCAAATTTTTTTTATAGCGTACAAACACCGTCATGGGTATCAAAGTATGCAAATATGTATTCATTTTTATTCTTAATTTTTCGAAAATTTGACTCCCAAGGTCACAACTGGCCCTTTTGACCTCCAAGAGTTAATTTTTGAGGTCAAATTGTATTAATAATGAAGCACTCACTCATGCCTTCATGGGTATGGAAAGAGGGGTAAATCCACACGGCGAATCCATGCTTACTATCTTTATCTTTATGCTACTTACATAACTATTGACAACACTTTTGACCTTTTTGACTTCCAAGTGGTCATTTGAGAATCCATTTCTAATCTGATTGTCCAGGTCAAATTTGATCTTTTCACAGGCTAATAAAAAACGATTTTACACTTTCTCTAATCAACTACTGTAAGATAAAAATTGTACAACTTTATGAAAATAACAATTTACAAGTATCCAATTATCAATTTTGCAATTTTATGAAAATAACAGTTTAATAACAATTTTAAAAGAATTTCTTAAACCTATCATTTAATGGATTAATAAAAATTCAGACCCGACGTAAAAGCCAGTTTTTAAGTAAAAATGTTTAAAATTAAAGTGCAACGTTTTTAAA